ACTGAATGTCGGCTCCCGAGAGCCTGTTGCACGGATATATTTACATGTGCTACATAGTATTTCATTATGAGTACATTCGCATAGTATCAGCGTATCTCGAGCTCAGAGCTGTTATCTATCTTTGCGTCCCACGGCCCATGATGCACGCACATGGGTGGTCGGTTGCTTTGTGAGCGCCAATTACATAACTATTTCAGCTCCCCTTGCTCGTGCATGCAGCAACAATCTCTCAGTCTTTCGTAACCAGACCCGATAGAAGGAAGTGTCGTTACTGCTATAAATGCAATCACTCACGGAGTCGGGCCTGGTTCATACGTATACCCCCGGATCATCATCCGTTGTCGGCACCTCCAAGTTTGTACGCTCTGGACCGGGGCACATACAAGGCACAATCGTTCGTGGTGTCTAGGGAGCATTAAGTCCACTCTCAATCAACGCTAAGAGCTCGCTAGAGAACGTTTCTCATCTGCAGCACGAAAAAGGCGGCCACTATATAGATGTCTATGTTTCCTATGATGCCATCTTCTGCGCGGGCATTCACGGTGATGTGGTTATTTTCATGCGGTGACTACGTGGCAGCTGAATTCAAAAAAGTCGTGGCATTGAAGAAGCGTGAACTTTTCGGCAGGGGACGATCCTGCTCCCATTATTGTCTATGGAGCCTCTCCGAGTTCCTCGTCATCAGTCACTCTGCCAGGCTTATTAAATAGCCCCGCAATTGGGTTAAACAACACCTGCTCATTAGAGTTTGCGTATGTCTTACGACTAGGACAGGTTGCCATAGCATCATCGTGCTGTTCTCTCCATTTCATCGTCGATGACCGGAGGATTATTCGTTGGACAGGACAAAAAAATGCCGTCTCCCATTGCTTTGAATCCGCCTACCCCGTCTCCGTCCATCTTCAAGGAGACAAAATCACTTGACAAGTTGCCATTAATGTCGAGGGCAATATCGTACCTTTCTGCTGTTCAACAAGCGGACACCCGCGCTCGGAGTCACAGCAATTCATCTACATCATCATCATCTCCTACACGATCTACCCCTTCCTCTGTCACAGCTTCATCCGACGATACCTTGCTTAACGACGAGGATGATACGAACAACTGTCTCGTGAACCCGCTCACACCCCCCACCTCCGAAGTCTTTGCCACCGTTCACACAGAATTTGGTCACTGTACAAATGAGACCTATCGTTGCGTCTCCAAGCATGACTGCACGAAACCTTTCCAGGAGCACCCAATCGAGGAGCCTCCGTATTACATTCTCCTCACCACCTACATAAGCTACCTCATGGTCATCTGTTTTGGCCATGCGCGCGACTTCTTTGGAAAGCGTTTTTTCAAATCTTATTTCACCCACCTTATGCCCCATAATGTAAGTGCCATCTTAATTCCCACATTTATGTAATTCATTTAATACAATGTGCAGGGATATGCACCGTTGAATTCGGATTTTGATTCCTTCTACACCCGCCGGCTGCAGCGTCGTGTGGACGATTGTTGTTCCCAACCTATTGCGGGTGTCCCTGGTCGCACTGTTCTAATCCTCGACCGTTATTCCACTGATTTTAACCTTCATCAAATCTACACCGGTACCAAGACACGCGCCTTGAACATCGCATCGTATAACTACCTCGGCTTCTCCCAGGCCCGAGGAGGCTGCTCAGACGCAGTCGCAGAAAGTGTCCATCGTTATGGCATCTCCACCTGCGGCACGCGTCTTGAGAGTGGGAGCAACGAGCTCCATGTGCATGCTGAAGCCCTCGTTGCACGTTTTCTGGGGACGGAAGACGCGTTGGTCAGTTCTGTAGGTTTTGCCACCAACTCCACCTTCATCCCTGCATTGGTGGGAAAGAAGTCCTTGATCATTTCCGACGAACTGAATCACACCAGTATTCGCATCGGTGCGCGCCAGAGTGGTGCGCAGATCCGGATGTTCAAGCACAATGATATGTCAAGCCTTGAGTCTGTTCTGCGTGAGGCGATAAGCCAGGGCCAGCCCAAGACGCATCGTCCTTGGAAGAAAATCTTGGTTATCGTGGAGGGGTTGTACTCCATGGAGGGCACACTCGTGAACCTGCTTAGGGTTGTTGAGCTGAAGCGGAAGTACAAGGTCCGTATTGCAGTTGCTGTTTGGGGTTATGACGTTGATGTTTTATTTTAGTTCTACCTCTTCATCGATGAGGCACATTCAGTCGGTGCGGTCGGTCCCCATGGACGTGGTGTGACGGACTACTTTAACATCCATCCTGGCTCAATTGATGTCTTGATGGGCACATTCACCAAGTCCTTTGGTGCTGCAGGCGGATACATCGCAGGGCCGAAAACCCTCATCGATAATCTCCGGCTGCACGGTCACTCATGTCCGTATGCAGAAGCAATGGCGCCCCCGGTGCTTGCACAAATTATCGCATCGATCGCGAGCATCATGGGCGTTGCTCCAGCACCACAGCCGTCCAAATCCCAAAATTCTCTCAACCTTACTAGCTCAGCTATTGCTCTGAAGGACAGTCCAAATGAGCTCCAACGAATGGCACCTGCAAGCATGCTGCCGGCATGGATAAACCTTCACCCATCTCTCGCAGACGGATCCGAAGCTCGGATGCGTATCCGCCGTCTTGCGTTCAACTGCCGTTATCTGCACGCGGGCCTCAAGAAGCTCGGTTTCATCATTCCTGGTCATCCATTCAGCCCAATTGTTCCTCTGCTCATCTTTAACCCGGGCAAATGCATGATGTTTTCACGTCTGATGCGCTCACGGAGAATACCGATTGTTGTCGTTGTCGTAGGGTACCCTGCCACACCGTTGGAGAAGGGTCGTGCACGGTTCTGTGCTAGTGCATCGCATACAAAGGAGGACATCGATATGGTGCTGCGTGCGTGCGATGAGGTGGGTGAAATTCTAGACCTGAAACATGGCATGGGCGAGCGGTGGGGGATTGATGAGGTTTGCGAGCGCGCAGTGGAACTTGTTCACTCTGCAGTGTGAACACTAGGATCTTTTTGTATATTATGGGACTGGGATATAGCCTATTGCGTTGAGTCTATTAATATTGGCTTGCGGTGTCTGCTTGGGTGTGACATTTTACAGCTCATGTAGAGGTGGGCTGTGCCGCACGCAGACAGAATTATATCGAGGGAGGAGGGAGTGGGACAGCCATGAACAATTAATTAATCACTGCTGAACATCTATCGTAGACCATGATGAACGTTCAACTCTTTACTTGATCTAGGATTGTTGGGTGTGACTGAATGGTGTGACCTTGTGACCTTAATGAGTAACACCGAGTTTTGCATATCAAAGTACTTAAAAGTTGTACAACCATCCTCCACAAACTTGCCAGGGCTGTTTCTCATTGTATGCTTCGCTTTACTGGAAAGAATGTTGCGGTGAACAGGTTTGTGCACTTCGAATTGCTTGGCGGCATACTGACATGATGTTCGCTTCCAGCATCATCCAACCACGGCAGCTACACTTGGTACTTTCGGGCCAACGTCTTGCTTCTGGTAGATTACAGCTGTTTTACCATGCAAGAGTTGGACGGAAAGTTTCAGCACGGTCTGCCTCTACTTCCACTTCTTCCTCCGATGACAAGTCTAGTCATGCCTCAAATTTACCACCTTCTGCCGTACCACCTCGCAAGCATCGGGTGGAGCTCAAGCCTGGCCCATTAAAAACACCTCCACCATCGAGCACGACACCAAGGCCTCACTCAGCATCCCCAAAGCAAACGCAACCCTCATTTCCAGCATTTCGTCCTTCTCCAATATCAAGTACACCAGAGTCTGTTCCGTCTGCGATCGAACTAGCGAAGCAAGACATAGCAGATGCGGCTGCTAAGGGAGTCCTTCGACCAGTTCCACATGATGCTGGTGCCATCAAGCGCTTCACTCATCAAGCTTTCGAACTCCTTGTCTGTGTTTAACCTCATTGGCGCGTTTGCTCTCCTAATTTTTTTTTTGCTCCGCCAGAAATTCTATTTCCGAGGGCTGAAGGCCATAAACACGCACCGTAATCAGGCAGCAGCAATTCGTTCGCGCATAGCTACAGGCGGTGCAGCGCTCTCCAGAGCGGAGTCGCGTTTCATCAGAACATTCCACCAGGATGCACTGAAGTACACATCTGTCCATCTATTTTGATTTTTCTTAAACTCACACCTTATAGGCTCATTCCGTTCCTTGTTATTGTCGTAGTTATGGAAGAGCTCATTCCTTTTATTGCCCTTTACGTCCCTCGAATGTTGCCATCTACGTGCGTCCTTCCAGGTCAACGAGATCGTATCAATGCAAAGGCACGCGACAATCAACAACTGGTCCTCGCAGGGAACTGGCAGTTATTCGATGTTTTGCGGAAAGAAAGCGAAAGCTCTGGCTTTATTCCGACTCTCAGTCTGAAAAACCCAGGGGCACTATGCGGGTGCGTACTTTTCAAATCTATCTTCAAACCTATGTAAGACTTTTTGTAGAGTCATCGGTGTCCCCGCTTGGGGGCCACTTCAACTGATTCAGTGGCGTCTACATCGCCACCTTCAGAACATTGCGTCCGATGATAAATTGCTCAAACAAGAGGCGTATGGACGTGATCTTACCCTTCCAGAGTTGAAGGAAGCATTGCAAGAGCGTGGAATGTAGGTATCCCATTTTATAAATGACTTGGCTCTGATATGTGTGTTTCTCGATAGGTCTATGTTCAGCGAAACAAATTCCGCAGATGAGCTGAGGGCCCAGCTCAAGTGGTGGATAGACATGACAGGGATCGTGCCCGAAGGCGCGGATGATATTAGTAGGCGCTTGTTCGTGCTCAGTGTTATTGGATCGCACAAGTAAATGCTGTCGGGGTGCCCTGCTATCTATCCTCTTGTGGCAGTGTGGGGCAGACAGACTTTCTTAGATCTAGAAGTCAATCATAATATCTCAACTCCACTCGTTGTATTCGCTGCGTCGTCCCTATCAATAGAAATCTAATACCTAGTGATATGTGCACGTGAAAATATGTGAGGCTAAAACTGCTGAGATACAATATCATACCAATGACAGCCGAAACCCACATTGTCAACCCTCAAGTCAATAGCAAGGGTCCTAAGCTGTTCACGGCAGTCAATCATGTCCAGAGGGCGTTTAAAATTGCGGTAAAGAAGGCGTTTGGCCGAACATGATGACCCACTGAATAACACCTTCACCGAATCAGGAAGCCATTCGTCGACAGTAGCCTCCCAGCCTGGGCCAAGAGCAACAAAGGCCAACTCTCGCAAAGACGGCAAAGACAACAAATCAAAGATGCGAGCTAGGGGTGTTACATCCCCGAACTGAAGCGCATCCTCTGATAGATAGATACTCAGTATCTCCAACGCCTGATGCTTGAGGGTCATCGCATCAGGGGGAGGATGAACTATCTCCAAATTTTCGTTGTGGAAGAAAAGCTTGACTTTCAGCTCAACTAGTGCTGGGAAGTCGAGGAGGATTTTCATAAAGTCGACTTCTGCCCCTGGCCTATCGAGTGTAAGGTGGGTAATTTGAGGGAACGTGGCACGTGGAATGAGTTTGATGAGCGCCTCCTTTCCACAGAGAGCAACGTGCGTAATGCTCGACGTGCCAAGGGTAAGAGGATGTCCGGAGTTGACAGGGAACGACGTCGGCATGACGGATATTAAGATGTGTTTTACAGCGTAGGCACCGCTGGCAATAAATGCATCAATGTAGCCGCGGCTGGCCTGTATATGAAGATCACGAAATTGCGCCGAGTGTGATGCAAGCAGGCGGAAAAGCCCTGACTGTGTTGGATCGTACTGGCGAAACCAATCCCACTTCTGAAGGCACATCACGCTGACAGCCAACGGACGGTTACGGGCTGCTGCAAGCCAGCGTGCCACCATTGCCGTGTAAAATTCTGCAGTCCAGACGCCCCAGTCATGAACATCAATAGAAGACCACAGTTCTGGGGTTGCCAATGCAATGTTCCTCCAGCGACGACAAATTTGGCAAAGTAAAAGCGGGGCGGACATTATGTGGGGGACGACATATCGATCGTTGGGGAGGCAGGATTTGAATATTTGCTGTAAAATTTCTGTAGGAAGGAACCTCGCAGGACTGATGCGAGCTTTGTTTTCGAGGATGCGAGTTTCTACAGCGCGCCGCTTCTCTTGCTGAACAGCCATGCGCATGTGTATCGCCTCGATCTCAGCCTGTAGGCTGTCAACCACGGAGTCTATGTTCAATAACTCTTCTGCATCTCTCTGCAAAGCAATCCGAGCTTCGTTGATCTCCATCTCTAAGAGAGAGTTTGCAAAGTTCATCGTACAAAGGACAGTGTCCAATTGTTTGGTGCTGACGACAGCGACAGAATCCATCGCTCTGCAGTGAACCAAAGATGTTTCAGTTAAAGTTGACATGTCTGTAATAACGTGGTCAGATTCAGAACTCGTAGGTCAAGCTATCATTCAAATGCTCACTCTTTTGCGGGACAATGTTTGAACAAAAGGGTACCTCTGTCTCGTAGACAGCTGTTCGAAGAGGAACACGAAGCTCAAACATAGAGGTGAGGCCGGCCCATGTGCAAATACCCGCTGAACGTGTTCTATTACAAGTTAACCGAGATCAAGACGGACTCGGACTCGGACTCGGCGAACTCGTAGACTGACTACTCGGGTGCCCACCGAAGAGATGCAGGCATTTTATAGGGTACGGCGTCTTGAATCTCGGCTCTACGCCAAGCAGCCTCAGTAGCCCGCAGAATTCGGCTAAAGCATGTGCCAAGGGGAAGAAGGAAGGTTCATGAACAGGTTGATCCTGACTTGGTGACTAACTACAAATGCTTAATTAGGCATCCCTGTCTCGAAAGATTTTTCGTTTACCTTGGCAATTTTCGAAATTCGTCATTTATGTAAATCGTGATTTGAAGCGCTTATGATCCGGGCCCTCTCGATTATGTTTTGTACAAGGATTACTTCACGACTGATTCGCATCGTTCCAAGGTAGATATATCACGATCCGCTATCAGCGGTAAGTACTACTGGGATGATTACAAGGCTCTTTACTGCACTACAAGTGGTAGGCATCCCAGTAGTACTTACCGCTGATAGCGGATCGTGATACCTGATGGCAACATGACGGGTCCAAGTTAGTTGGGTATTCACTGAAAGTAGAACTATCTACTTTACTCTTCAGGTCAGCCCACAGTGTAAGTTGAGTGTGTGCTTTATTCACGAGCCACAGCGGACGCTACGACACAGTCTCCCCTAGCCAGCCTAGAAGATCATTCGAAAGAAGGTAGCCGTAATTTGCGTGTGGAGTCGACGAGGGCAAGTCGATGGTTTTAACGTACATATATAAGCGCTCGGTGTCAATTGTATCCACCGCATGCTGCTTAATTTACTATGTGCCCACCCTACTTTTCCTTTTGCTCATTGGTCAACGTTCAACTATATGTCCCATGAAAAGCCGTGAGGAAACGAAGATAAAGTTGGTGCAAGTATAGCGTACAAAAATCTACCTCTGTAATAAAGCAACGACCGAAGGTCACCGCTTGTATATAGATGACATGCAGGTTGCGTTCCGGAATCTGGGTAACTCTGGCAGTACTTTCAGTCGAAGAGTGGCACCATATGCCTGATAATGTAAAACCATTAGTGATATGTGGAGTATGTACTACGAAACTTATGATCATCTTATGAAACAAATAGAATTGCTTTACTTCTTAAAGCCCAAACCCCTACCACTGATGCATCTTTCAATAAGTATGAATGTAGGTGCGCATTTCGACAGCTGCATATCGTCTTCCCCGCAAAGGTGTTCGTCAGCGATATCCCTTGTTCCCGCATCTGACATGCAGTCGAACGGGGTGGAAACTTCGATCGACTCGACCCCGAGGCTGGAGGGACTCGTCGGAAATGCATCAGAGTCATCAAAAGGTTCCACCTCGATCGTCTGAGTCAACCTTGGATCATTAATGTCACTCTTCTGAGATTCTTGCATTTTACGGAATTTTGCGTCATGAAGGACTATGCGTCCAGCCTGAGAAAGTGAATGAGGAGGGGAATGACCGCTTAAATCTTGCACTCAACAGCAAACCAAAGGAGGGAAAACAGTACGCTAATGAAATTCAGTGAGGAAAGAAACCTGTGGTACACGCAAGACTTACTAGAAGATGATGTTTCCACTCATCCGTGTGTTGATTACGCGTGTGCTGCAGAGAAACATAAAGATGAAGATCACTGCAATGATGAGCATATATGAATAAACAAGTATACTAAACCTACCCATTACCGCAATGGTAGTGCAGCTGCCGTCGCGGACCGCAAGCTTGAGCCAAGCACGAGGAGCTTCCGACAGGCCGGATGAACTTTTGAAGAATCTCCATAGCATTGTAGAAAGGATGAACATGAACATTACAATGATTGAGACGCTGGTTCCTAATTCGGCGATCAGATATACAAGAGGTGCAAAAGTCCTCACCCGTGATAGATCCTACTGTGATGAGGCGAGATTATGACACAAGTGGGGGAATAGCTAGTGCCAGTTATAACTGATCGAGCACTGGCTGCATTCGCGGCAAACTGTGCGCCACCGAAGACGATCGAGAGTGCAAAGATAGATTTGCCTTTTCCATACATCTTGCACACTGCAATAAAGGCGGATAAGCAGTCACCCAGAGTAAGACCTGAAAGTCACGTACCTCGCAGCATGAGTAATAACTCCACTGAGAACAGCAGACACTGGGTCATCAAGATCTGGTACCAGTACCATGCTCTGCAAGTGGACGGATTGTTGGGAACTTTCGAGACCATCCTACATGCAAACCAGATGTTAAAACTGGCGACAGGGGTGAGCACGCGACCTTGAGTTGCTGAACCACCCACCTTTGGCCAGCAAAACCAGCATACCTGGTCACCACGTAAATCTTAGCTTCCATGGTCTTCAAAAATCGCCTGTTCGCCAGAAAAATGCTCATCAATGTCGTTCTCAAACCACAAACAAGGACGCACGGCCAGACTAGCCGGACTTCATCGGTGAAAAACCAAATATACTCAAGAACCATGAGCGCGGTTAAAGTCGCTGATGAGTCTAAATCAAACTGAAAGGGTGTTCAGATAGCGATTGGAACGCACTTGTTAGTATAACGATGTTGCGTGCAACAGGATCGATGATGGAAGGGGACAACATCACTGGCAACATCAGTAAAGGAGCGACCAAAATTGAAAAAGGAAAAATAAAAAATGGCCAAAGTCCGAGACTGCCCCAAGTACTGATAGTCAGAGGAAATATCAAGCAATTAACGGTGGGGATATATATGTGTTCGCGAGCAGACCCGAGCCGGACAAACCTAGGGTCAAGCCCTGACCCTGTCGGAGGACTAGTGGAATGCCATAAGTACTAGCTAGTCGGGCGCTAAACTTAAAACTAAGCTTGAAGCTCCGAAAAACAACCGAGTCGGACAGTCGGCTGTATTAGCCCCTATCTAAACATCGCCGAACCATTCAATGAACATGTCAGTAAAACAATAAAGATACAAAATTCTACATATACTGTTCAACTAGATATCAAACCGTCGTTCCTCGATACCCCGTACACCAGCACTGACAATTCTTCGCTCATCAAATGCAACGGTACCACATGTACTGTTTGTTCCTGCAAAGCTGCCCTCGACAGGCCTAGCGACTTCAATCCCATCTCCACCCTCGAGATCCCACACCCAGATTGCTCCGTTGGAGCTCAGGCTAACACAACGCCCATCCGCAAGAGAAAGCGCAGAAATAGAGCCCAAAGGTCCATGCAAAGTCCGGACAAACGTCAATCTCGGTGTATGGACCGATGAACTTGAAATCGGAGGGACATGAAGGCGGTATAATTGAAGGTGATTCGATGTGTGGCTCGGAGGTGAGATGTATGGGAGTGACTGTGGATGCCCCTGTTGGGGCGCCGTACCTTCAACTGAAGACCCATGGGATATTGGAGACATATCGGTCACATCTCCAGGGGCTAGAACGACCCACTTCCCATCCGTTTGTGTATCTGCTACTTGTTTTACTTTACGGCCCCATTGGTCACGCATAAGTTGAAGCTTGCGCTCGTCTATCCACCCTTGCGGAACGTCAAAAGCACGGGTAGACCTGGTGACGCTCACTTCAAAAGCCCCCTGCGGTGATGACTCGCTGGATGACGTAGTGAATGTCCGTTTACGTGGTAAAATGCCCGATGGAGATATAATAAGTTCTGTGGCACCCACACTCCAGTGAGCAGGGTAAACGGGAATAGCGTAGGCCATGACGAGTTTGTACGATGCTGCCGAAGGTACTGTGGAAAGTACGAGTGACGTGGGAGGATGACTAGTGAAAGACGTGAGTGTCTGAGTGTGTGTAATACAATCATTGCTCAGGTCGTATATCATGAGCGTAAATGAGTGCGACAATGTGACAAGCAACGGATGATTGTAGGCTGCGTGGGTCACCGGAGAAGCACGGTGCAGGGACGAAGGGACATAAGTTTGCTTTGGAGTGGTGGTCAAGGACAAGGAAGAGTGATCATGTTCGAATATATTGAACTCTCCAGTTGTCAGGAAAGCAGCCAGGCGTATGACGTGTGAGGAAGATAAGGAAGGTGGAGATTGATCGAGTGCTATAGCAGATATTTCCGCTACAGGTCTAGCTAGAGTAGACCTGCAAAGCAGAGTACGCGATACTCCACCGTTGTCTCGTACTAGCAGGGAGGATCCACAAACCTTCGACGAGGATATGGTGAACCCGCCTGCCAATATAACGTGCTGACTAGGAAAGGCTGGCGGCGGAGCTAGAGCCGTTCCCTCAGCATCAGTAAAGTGCTCGATAGCGCAACGTCCTAAAAATGTATATGAAAAAGGGAAAGTAGATTGTTAATAATTGTAAGATTTACCATTCTTCCAGTTCGAGCTGATGCGGTACATCCATTTCCAGTCCAGAGCGTCATCAGCTGATGACGTAGAAGTAGAAGCTCTCAAGGGAAGCGGTTTAACTGATCTTCCATCGGTCCGACCATAAAATCCCTTGCCTCCCCTCAACCTTGTTTTACCATACTCTCTGACAAACAAGGCTTTCCAGAGCTACAAGCATAACCAGAGCAGTGGCCGACCCGAGTGTGTTCAACATTCATTCTCTTGTTGCCCAATTAATCAAATATATACCTGGTTGTCGCTCGCGAGCCTCGCACAGTTTCTGTTCGTCCCATGCATGGCACATAGATCTCTGGAGTTCAGGAACGAGAAGATAAACAGAATGAGCTCGTCATAGAGCGCATTGTCAAATGTTGTGATAAGGGAATGCCCCTGCGACGAGATCCGAGTATGATGTAGCCTCTTTGCAGGCGGCAGAGGCGCTGGGGACAGTCGGTGCTTGGACATGGCAGTACGGGGGAGAAATGTGTAAGAGGCATATCACCGATCGTTGCATCGGCCCGCCAGTAATTCATAGACCGAACAGGTCCGAGGAATTTCCAATTTTAGGCAATGAGCCACTGCGACCGAACTTGAGGGTTTGCTTATTACTCAACTTAAATGGCTCCTTCACGAGGTCCACAAGCACTTGCTCGAACGCTCCATAAAACACTCTCGAATCACCGAGGACCTGTCCATGTTGTTCGATATGCCAAAGGAACCGCAAAATACGTCTTAAGTGGAGGACAGGATCGCTCGATACGTCTCTGGAATCCAGACCTTGGTACCGAGATTAAGAAGTTTGAGGCCCACGGATACGAGGTCCTTTCCATATCTGTGTCAGTCACATCATTAGTTTCTTGACCTCTATTGGAGTTGATGAATAAGACCGTATATTGTGTAGGAGTCACGACAATACAAAGTTTGCATCTTCTGGAGGAGATCGTTCTGTCTTCGTATGGGATGTGACGGCGGGTGTGACGACACGTAGATTGGCAGGCCATATGGGCAAGGTGAATGTCGTAGAGCTTAATGCGGATGCGACTGTGCTGGCAAGTGGTAAGATTATACCTTTTACTCGATGTGCAAATGACAGTGTTCACCATGCTTTATCATAGGCTCGTATGATTCCACAGTAAGACTATGGGACTTGCGGTGAGTATGGAAGCGTTTGGCCCCAGGGATAATATAAAACTGTTCTCGGCAGGGCACCAGCACGTGCGCCGATTCAAATACTCGAAGAAGCTCGCGACGCAGTGCAGACCTTACACGTGGATGCAACCACGATAATTGCAGGCTCTGTAGATGGACATGTCCGAACATACGATCTACGCAAAGGCGAACTACGTTCAGATTTCATAGGGCGTAAGTGCTGTGGATATTTATTGCACACATGTTCATCATGCCCCACAGAGCCCGTTACCTCGGCTATCCCCTCATCTGATGGCACCACGCTTCTCGTATCTACGCTTGATTCGCATGTCAGGCTATTCGATACGACCAGTGGTAAGCTTCTCAATGCTTTCACTGGCCATAATCACACGTCGTATCGCTGTCGAGCATGCTTTGGACATGAAGAAGCGACAGTTGTTTGTGGGGATGAAGATGGTGCCGTTTGGGCTTGGGATTTGGTCGATGCGAGTATCTGAATCCACAAATGCCATTACCGTGCTTACGTTTGTTTTTAGGCTACAGTTTTGCAACCCAATCCTCCGCCAAAAGTTCATGACAAGGTGATCACTTGGACAGAGCATCACCCAACAGACCCTGGGGAGATGGTTACAAGCAGCGCAGATGGGACGGTGAAAGTCTGGCGACACCCGAGCTAGACTTCCTTTGCTACAATAAGTTATCCTTCCATATGATTGTCCTTTCGTGTGCTAGTGCGATGCAGATCGTGAAACGAAATACTCCATTATCGATAGCGCTCATACATAGATGTACCTACCCCCTACGAAAGCAAACAATATTACAAAGGTCATTATCATCACAGTGTCGTTCCTTCCACCACAGCCTTCAGTCGCTGTCTCAACATATTCCTCGTGCTACTTCCATCCTTCCCGTCTTTTCCATCCTTCTGCGACTCTGGCGCTGTCACCGTACTCTGCATTTCTAATTCCGAAAACGAGCTCAACGTCGGCGAGATGGCGCTTATAGACGGGGTGCCGGTACTGCCGAAAATGGAGCTCATAGCAGTCCCATATCCGCTGCCCTCCGTAGCATCGCGTACAATTCCCAACTCGCCTGGACCCACAAGTTCGACAGTCTCACTAAGCACAGCAATGCGAGTCCAACGCCGAAAGCGCGTGTACTTTCCCATCCCGCCTTTCGAGCTCGCACCCTCCCATTTGTTATCACCATACAGCCAACCCTCAGGGTCTGTAACAGCTTCATCTTCAGATGCAGAATCGAGGAATGGGTCGCTGGAATGTTGCTCGTCAATTCGTTCGGGCAACTCGGCAGAACCACTGGAGCTTGTGTTCAGATTGTCGCGGCCGCGTGCAGCACGTAGCATCCGTGCTGCAGTAGATTCGTCAGGTCCGTCTTTATCCTTTGGAGGTGTCTTCTCCACTCGCCAGATACCCCCCTGGCCTTCCTTGCGTATGATAACGCGCCATTCAGGTTCTTCCCACGTCCAGCGAGCTACACGTCTTGCGCGACCGTTCTTTCCAACAGCGACGTATGCCGTTGTAGAGGCGGGAAGAGGGAAGACTGAGGGCGGGGATAATGGAACTAGGGAGGAGCTACACCATGATGGGCGTTCATTAGGAAGCAGAGCAGCTGTCCAATCAAGACCCATCCACCACCGCTGATTCTCGTAGACTGTAAACAGGAAGCGGAGAGGCGGAGAAGGCTTTGGTGCATCATCTGCTAATACAGATGCCGGGCGTATCTTGATAGAAACTTCCGTGGGAGAGGGCGATGCGGGTGGTGGGAGCGGTACTCCTGAAACAAACGCGCATAGTCGGTAAAATGTCCATCGGATATGTGCGCTGCGAGTAATGGATGCTCGGACATGTCTGGCCCAGTGCGCTCTATGAATCATGAACAGGGTGCCACATAATGCGATGCAAATACGGAGACCAACAAAGGATGTGAGGATAAGGTAGGGCAGATAGCTAAATGCAAGCACTCGGAGAACAACAAACGATGGAGGAAGGGGGGATTCGACGAGAGGTGATGAGGGAAGCAGGGCACGAATGGTCGCTAGATCAGATACGAGAGCGTGAAGGGTGCTGTCGGTTATTACCGGCGGTGAGATTCCCGAAGATGTGTGATTGGATGATGTCCAATGTCTCAGTGCGAGAACAAATGAGACTGCAAGTGGTAAGAAGAACCTGGCAAACAAAGAGGTTCAAATCAGCCAGAATACATAGATAGTTGAACACACATACTTTAGGGTCGGTTCGGAGAGTAAGCAGAATGCCCACCATGTGGCAAGAGCAAGCCAACTTTCCTCCCATGAAGATTCCCAGCTGATAATCTGTGCAAAATGCCTTATGGCCTGAATATATGGCGCAAGGGCAACTAGCTCTGAAGCAAGTGGTATCGGAACAGTAGTCACAAACTCAATCAGCGTTAGAGGTGACTGCATGGCAGGGCTCATAGCAGCCGCTGCGCTTACAGGTGCCGTCAGGGGCATCTGTAGTATCTTTGGTTTGAGATTGAAGTCTTTGGACTTTGGCGACATCAATTGACAGGTGATTTCGTAGCAATACACTTCACACGACAGCTTGCGGCCAATATGCTTTCAGTGAGAAAGCGAGTTTTTTTATAACCTGTTTATGCTGGTTAGTCATAGTTCTCGAGCAAATATTAACAACGTACGGTAAACCACAGAACTCACTGCTGCGCTAAAGCCTGACGCTGGAGGGAATGAAACGTAGTAGCCCGGCGTTCGGCTGGTGGCATGTGGCAAGTCATGCTTATTCAAGTCTATACGTGCAAAGGCATCTAAAAGTGGATCGGATTACATAAGTTTTTTTGGCACGTAAACTTTGTACTTTCCAAATAGGAACAAACAACGCTTTTCCAAATTGAGCTTGAAGCTTTGAAGCATTGAAACTTACTTAGCAGTGAAATGCAATCAGCAACGACGCGTAGGCATGTTCAAACTTTACTGACCCTTTCTGTGATAGTGCGACTTGCAGTCTGGATATTAGTTTATATCTCTGCTCGCTCGCTTCCACTGTTCGATGCATCACCAAGCATTTGGATCAACGGAACACCCCCATCCTCTATCCTCCTTCGCTGGGATGCGTTCCATTTCGCGCACATAGCAAGAGAAGGATATGTATATGAACACGAGTGGGCATTCTTCAATGGATTGCCACTATTGATGCGCATTTCGGACCACCTGCAAGCCCTGGCAGGTTTTGATACGAACGGTTGGGGGACGCTTCTTCGAGGTGGAGCAGGCATGGCCATACTGTGCGACTCAACACATGTGCTGTATCACCTATCATTACATTATTTCCGCTCACCTTCCCTGGCATTTTTATCCGCTGCACTCTCTCTATTATCGAGTAGCCCCGTTGCGCTTAAATTGGCATCATACAACGAACCATTCTTCACATATCTCTCATATCGAGGCATGCTGGCATGTGCTCGCTCCAAGTGGGCTGCAGCATCTATATGCTTTGCATTGGCAAGCACGTTCAGGTCCAATGGAATATTCCTGTCCGGGTTCATACTGTGGGGTATGCTGGTCGCGCCCTTTCTGACAGGGCAGAAAGATCTAGTAAGCATAATCATACGAGTTATGACATCCGAGTTAATGCATTTATGCCAGCTTACTCCTAGACGTCTGCTTAAATGCGTGTTGTTGACTGCATTACCTCTGATACCCTTCATCCACCACAATGTTACTGCATATCTGCTATTCTGCAAGCCATCAGCAACACACATACCAGATTGGTGTACGAACAATATGCTTCCTTCGATATACTCCCACGTGCAATCCAAATATTGGAACGTTGGCTTCTTGCGATATTGGACTGTCTCCAACATCCCAAACTTCATGTTCGCGCTTCCTGTCTTGCTTAATGTGTTTGCATTCTGCTGGTTTTATCTATCGAACTTACCCGCCATTATTCCTCATATCGCCCCGCGGATTCGCTCAAAAAAGAATGACGTCCCTCCCCCTCCTCAGCTTGACTCTCCATTTCTATCTCCGTCCCTACTACCCCACGTACTCCACGCCTTGGCGCTCACGTTGATCTTGACATTCAATGCTCACGTTCAGATATCACTTAGGCTTCTCCCGTCTCTTCCACTCACGTACTGGGCTGCTGCTCGTCTCATGCTTGACCTTCCGAAGTGGGGGAAGGCATGGGTCACATGGAGTGTTTTGTGGGGTGCCTTGAGCTGTGTCCTATGGGCAGTATTTCTCCCACCTGCTTGAAATTGTATGTTAGAAATTAGTGCATGGTAGAATGAATGCACATATACCATCAGGAAACAGCAATTTGTCCCAACATAGCGTACTTTATCGTGACATTGTCTTAGTCAGTTGCAAAGCGGTCTTCTCTTGCTTCTGTTGGTTCCAGTTTCTGGGACATAGCACTTCATATCACGTTAAATAATACAATTATAGGTCTAAGGTACAATACCGGATGTATGTTATGGTTACAAAAAGCAAACTGATATCGGTATAAGATGCGAATGCGAAATCTAAGCCACCATGTCATACAACTTCCAAAAAAAGCTGAACCTCTTTCCCCTTGGTTTATCCTTCACTTCATCTAATGGTTCGTCCCTATATTCATCACCATACAGATCAACCGTATCGATGTCCACAATGTCGGACTTCCACTTGTAACGAGCTTCTCGGGTTTCAGTTTCACGGGGTATCAGAGAGGTCGTCTCATTAGGAGGATCGGCGTTACCTGAAACTGGTGTAGAGTCTATGAAGGCGTTCTTGAGAAGGACCCAGCCGAGGCCCATGACAATCATGACGGGTATCTCGATGTAAAAGGAGACAAAATCTACTGCTGAGAATGTGGGGAATATAGAGGACCATCCCTGGACTTTTCAACTCGTCAGTACTCAGTATGCAAAGGCAGCGGTGCAGTACGTACTCAAGATGAGGGAGATCACTGTGATAATCTGGGAGGTCACATGGGTTAGGGAAGAGACAGCTAACAGTATCAACACACGCACAACAAAGTAAGGACCCCATGGCCAGGTCCACGATGCTCGAAATTTCATTTCGTCTAAAGATCGACCTTGTCTGATCCAGGCTTTCCTGAACCTCCAACTAGCCAATCCAATTGATAACCAGGCAATCTAATGTTTTCTTAGTCAAGGATTACCACACATTCGCGTATTGATACGAACCTGGTTTGAGACCCCAACAATGTTTTGTAACCATCCCCACAATTTGCCACTGCCAATAAAACTGCTGCCTAAACATAGCACGCTAATGCTACTGGTCGCAAGCAGCGCGTACAGGGGAACACCTGCCCGAGTAGTCCGAGAAAATATACGAGGTGCGTGGGGGGTGGGGCTAACAACAGATAGACCATACAGAACTCTTGTTCCCGCGAAAAGAGCGTGGTTACCGGCAGATAATACGGAGGTAAGAATGACGGTATTCATGAATGACCCGGCTACGTCTGTTCGAAACAACGTTAGCACTTGAACAAGGAGCAAGGAAGCATTGCTCACTTGAACCCGCTAGAGTAAATACAATCGTAAAAGGGGATGTAGTGGTTGTCTTATTAGACAGATTCGGGTAATCCCATGGCACTAATCAAAACAGTCAGGTGTGTAACAGTGTGTGAGCAAAGAGTAGCCCACCATTCAGACCGATGAGCAGGATGCTCAGGATATAAAACAACAGAATTCTAATTTCACCGCTCGCACATCAATGATCTATGGACGTCCGAATGCTTTACTTGCCTCCAAAATACAAACTTAACAACCTTTGGCATGTTTTTCGAAGGGTTCTCCGTCTCTCCTGCGGTGATACCTAGACTCTCTGTTCCACCGTCTACAGACTGATCAGCTGAATAAGTTCGCAATTAGCAATGCAACTTACATGCAAAACTAGCTGTCACGAAAACATTGGCGAAACCACCAAAGCCACCGACGAACGGAGCGCCAGGAATGTGCCAGTTGTGTGCTCCGATGTAGGTATGCGACTGATTGACACCGACATTGACGAGGATGCCAAGGATAATGAAGATCACAATGGTGACGACCTTCAGGAATGAAAGCCAATACTCTACCGCAAGGCGTTAATACCATTTTGGAAAGAGAAAGGAAATCCATGTTACTGACCCAATTCTCCGTAAGCTTTGACGTTGAAGGAGTTGAGTGATACAAGAAACACCCAAAAGAGCAGGCTAACCAGCCAAGGATACGACGGCGTCCAGAATTGTAACACCAGTTGGGCAGCAGTAAGATCAGAGGCAACGGACACTGCATCATTGAACCAATAGTTCCACGACAACGCGAAACCATAAGATGGCGAAAAAAAGCGTATTGCATAGGCGTTAAACGACCCTTGGAAAGACAGGAATGATTAGCACGCTGGCTAAATATAAAAAAAAGAAGTACACACCGGCCACCGGGTACTGTGTAGCCATCTCCCCTAACAGCAACAGCGTCACATATACGATGAATCCCACTATGCCATAGCAAATCAGCATGCTCGCAGGGCCACCTTGGGCAAGGGATTTTCCGGTTCCGAGAAAAAGTCCCGTTCCAATGGTACCGCCAATTGCGATCATTTGCACTTGACGTGCAGAGAGGCCACGATGTAGACCTCTGCGCGCTGGCTGAGGGAATGGTGCTTCTGCATCATCTATATTGACATGCTGTTCGCGTGCTGAGGGCTCAGGCTTGGTCCGCGAGGAAGAGCGAGATGCTGAACGAGTCATAGACCAAGGTGCTCGCACAATGGGCGTGAAGGGAAAGTGGGAAATGGACACGCGATTGCAGTCCGATTCATTTATTTTTGTACTATCTGGCGTGCACTGCACGGAATTCTGGCGCCATCGCGCGCGACTCGATAACCAGTGGCTAAATTAGGTCAGCTTAGATGCTGTACTCGTAACTTACTAATTCGCTTTGTTGACGCGAATACCGGATAGCGGATATCGGGTGTGGCGGTGAAGTCCGTGAGATCATAGATGGCCCCGGCTTGGCGCTGTTGACCCCAGCGCATGGCTCGTCGTGGTCAGCGAGGAACCCCGGCGGGGATGGAGATGAGTTCATGATACATCGCTGAGAAATCAAGCGAGAAATACGTGCCATTATCGTAAAGACAACTACAAACGGCACCCTACCCCATGAGCCCACCAGGACACAGATTACTTATGCTGTTGGACCCCTGTCAGAAAAAGCGTGGCCGATGAGACTTATCATGAGGCACAGCGTTGGAGTGATGGCGGGCGGCTTGAGCCAGGACTATGACACGATCATGGTAATTAAGCTGGGATGGTGATATGACACTACCGTGACTACGAACAGGCTATAATTACTACTGACCTAAGTTGCTTACTGACTAAGCTGTAGAAAGAGCCGTGGCCCAGATCCTTGAGCAGTTCTTACCGAAAGGCAGGGACGTCCAGTGCTATGAAGCACTTTTGTTGTTGGCATGAATCGGTACACGGAGACACACCAAGGGGTAGAAACACTCGACCCGGCGCAGGATGTATCATACTGTACTGCGCATCACTCGGAAACAAGTATGATGGCAGGTTTGGGGTGTCACAGCCACAAATTCCTCGCGCCGTACCCCAATCTAAACGCTGCTTAGATCTGGTGTCGATCGTTGTAACCAATACGAGCTTAGCATGTACGAGAGTGACTAGAAATAACTAGACGGTGAACGTTAATGAACGCCCAGTCACGGTGGCCAGATTGCGTTTGAAACTTGAGACATCAATGCCATTTCTGTGTTTTGTACAGTGATTGCTGTCGAGGGAAATTACAGGGAACTTCCTTGAAGTAGAGCGCTAGCTTAGGAGGTATCAAATCCCCCGGAATCATAAAACCCTGAGTTGGACAAAACCCTGAGACCAAAAAAAAATTAGAATCATGAATAGTGATCACAAACCAATTGCAATGTCTGAGTCCTGGTTCCTGAATTTACCTAGAGGAAACCCAAGACTCCAGGCCTGAGGGGTCTACAACAGTTATGCGCGAGCTGTCGAGATAAAGATAGGCGACAAGTGGCCTTACAGAGATGCGGAAGACATTGGTCTCGCTCAGGATGGTCTTTCGCCGTGCATGATGGTCTGCGTTTATGTTGATCTCGACCAGGTTTCGGCGTCAACAACATTCTCATTCATGAATGCATGACGTGTAGTTTGGAGAAAGCAAGCCTATACATTGTTCATGCACATCGTTTATGAAGCCCGCCAGATCCAGACGTACCTGCTCAGAGCAGCTGTTTCCTTGATTTGTTTGATAATCACTTGCAACTACTTCTCCTGGAGTCCCGGACCTGCATTTCGTATCCTGTCGCGTGTATCGCATTCTCGTCCTTGTTACTGCCGATAGGGTCAGCGGAAACTTGTGATGGATGCTAGTCGTGTCACGAAACACGAGGAATTAAATATAAGTCCGTCACGTGGGAGATGCATTAATCTTTGACAAATCCTTGAAGGAGTTCGAATTACCCTTGCCTTTGCTTCGCACCGCACAAATTGATTGTCATCTGACGTTTCAAGGTAATGGTAAATTCCAAGAGCAACGTGTTTGGTACTGACAACCTCATGTACAACCATATACGTGCAGCGTCTCTCGTTCCGATATGGGGGATCGATCTCAAACATCTGAACGCCCGGCAATACCAGGCCCAGCGACGCCCAAGCCCTCGTTACCACCCGGCATGGTGATTGGTCCGGACGGAAAACCCTGCAAAATATGTACGGCGTTCCGTAACTGGAGGCCCCCCACTTCGGGCACTGCCAGTTCGAGCAAGAAGTCCACCGCAGGAATGATGGCTGCCTTTGCGTCTGGAACGGGCTTCCGATCTCCCGAATCTAAGCCAGAAAATGCAGTACTACCCCCACACTGTCCGCCGGATGTCGAAGCCCTTGGACGTGCCACGTGGTCATTTTTGCATGCGACTGCGGCATACTACCCAGCACGGCCCACTACCCACCAGCGTGCAAATATGCTAAATCTCATTCACGCGCTACCCGTCCTATATCCATGCACACACTGCGCGGCGGACTTTGACGACAAAATCAAGGAGCATCCCCCAGACGTGAGCAGTCGCGAGAGGTTGAGCAAGTGGTTCTGTGAGCGTCATAATGAGGTGAACGAGAAGCTGGGCAAGGAAATGTTTGATTGTGCAAAGGTTGATGAGAGATGGAAGGATGGTCCACCCGACGGCAGCTGCGACTAGACTGCAGTGTGTTCGTGTAAGTGGGTTTACATATCATTCACTCTCCAGGACACACATAAAGCCATTAGTATGGACCACAAGCTCTCAATAATACCACTCATGGAAAAAACGCGGTCTTACTTTCCAGGTCGAAGATTTGATCACCACCCGACAAGACGACCGGACAGTGGCATGAGTCTCAAAGCCGTCACCGACATGAATGGCATGCAACACGCTTGATAAGCAATGGGAACTCGATTTTATGAATATGAGTAGACCTAGACCTCATGCACTGCATGAGGCAGCAACGTGTGGGCGCAGACTATACCCTCAAGTAACTTGACCTACCCTTACCTGTCCTCTGCCGTGTTGGATTTGAGAGTCTTGGTATGTTGCATTCTTTACATTTTTTTTTCGAAATATTGACTGTCGTAGCATAATTCAACGACTCGAGTACAGTGTCCAGATTAATACCAAAAGCAAGAGGGTAGTGCATATGTCGGTACGTGTCTTGAGCATGACACGCAATCTCGAGTGTTCACCAGATAGCAGATGTTCAACGTACTCGTCGTTGGCCAAACTGGATGCGGGAAGAGCTCGGTCGTGAACATGCTCGCTGGAGAAAGCCGGGCACCCACATCTCACGACCTCAGTCACTGTACTAAACACTGGGCTGAGTACGCAATTCCAGTCGACGGCCATTCATTCCAGGTCTTTGATACCATCGGGTTTCTCGAACCCGGGCTGGATACAAAAGGGTACACGGAAGCTATCGCTGATACATACCTCGCGATCGATACTCTAAGGCAAAGAGGCGGCATTGATCTACTCCTTTATTGCGTACGCGACGAAGAGATCGAGAAGATGAAGGGTCACTATAGGTTGTTCCATGAAGTGTTTTGCGATGAAGAAGTTCCAGTCGCTCTTGTCGTCACAAGTCGTGGCATAAGCCACAAAGTCTACAAGGCAATCTTCCGCTCACACAAAATCGCTTGTGTGGATTACGTCTGCGCAAACATAGCTAGCACGCCTGGACGTAGTAATTCAGCTGCGGACACCGAATCGCAGAAGGCGATCAAGGAACTGCTAGTGAAGTGTTGCGATGCGGGACCTAATCCTAGGTCCACTCTGCAACAGCTATGGCGACGAGTTCAGAAACTCGTTGGGACAGACCAGTCTCACCGATCTCTCAAACGAAATGAAGTATCCGCGTTGCTCACGCGGCGTTGCAAGATGCAACAGGAGGTGGTCGAGCAATTGCTCACAGCCCTGAACCTCCAGTCGCCGTCAAGTCGGCTTCATCGGGCACCCTACGCAGGCGGTAAATGTTGGTTTCCTCTATTCTATAGCGTCACGTTGACTGATCAGCGAGTGCAGCTGCAACTCGCAATTTGCCTTCGTCGGAGAACGACGCTAGTACTCGAGATGAACAAGTGTCGGATGCTAGGCCGAGGTAAGCCTATTAATTGTTTGACGAGACTTGAACTTGAGCGTATTGTGCATTCCTTCCCTTCAGCTCTGCATCTCAGTTACATTCTGTTGTGGATAGTACCTCTCTGCATTCTCGCTCAGACAGCTGATGCCTTTGCCGAGCACCAATCTGTCAAATATATGTGTACTTACGAGATGAGATGCTGATACTTGACGAAATACTTCAGCTATACCATATGCTTCCCTCCTACATGCTGTTCAAATTCAGAAACAACGCGTTGATGCAATAAGGCGTTCCAGGACGACCTAAATGCTTACCCAACACACTGCGTGGACGAACTATCGCATTGACTACGTTAATGACCTCACAAGGGCATAGAATTATCGATAAAAAAAACAAGATTGTATAGACATCGAACTAGCAGTTTGTAAAATCCCACAGCTCCGGATCTGTGTAAGGTGGAGTTTCAAACGCTATGGGTTGAGAAACCACTCCCAAAATAATGTCGTTTGTTACACCGTCCTGCAAGTCGGACATTTCTCGTAAATTGAACAGGATGCGCGAGGCAAGAACGCTATGCGCGACTAGTTGTGGGCTTCTCCGACTCAGCTTTAAACACGTAGCAAGTAACGATGTTGCTTACCCAGCAAGAAGTACGGTGTAGGATGGCTGGACGCCCGGATCAGAGGTTTATACGGCGATATAAGAACGACTTGCTCACAAGTAGTAAAATGACGGAAATGCAATTCGCCATCGAGACCACTGAGAAAAGTAAGGCCACGTTACTCACAAGAGCCTTCGAAACTCACGAGTAATACATAGTATGGAAATTATGCCATCTCGACATAAAGTAGCCACCAACGGACTACCATCCAATCGAAAAGATTTGAAGCGTTTGCACAGTGTCAGCGTCATCAGCACTGCGGGTGATCATGCGGTAACTGGGGAGAATAATCGTAATGCTACGTACCAAGCTCAACTAACATCAACAAACCATAAATAACACTGGTATTCCGTCCTGCCACAAACACGCCAGTTGAATCTGAAGGAATGTTGTGAGCAGAAGAAATTCAGAACAATTATACGAACCTCCGGATTCACTTGCATCAACGTATGAGATTACCAGCACCGCTGCTGAGACGACCTGAAGGAATTCAGTCAAAAGCAAATGGCTCAGGAGAAAGAGACCAAGGTCACCGTGGTAAATGTCAAAGTCAAAGTCAAGAACCTCTTGTCACACCCCCAAACTACGTAGGTCCTTACCACAAGCAGGACTTTGAATCAAATGAGTCATTGGAAAAGAAACCATGTGGCTTGTGGAGTTGATACTCACGCTCAGCAGCAGCTATACCCAACCAGCGGATACCTAGAAAATGATTGAGGATTGGATTTAAGTGAGGTTCTTGTTATACACCACCATCATATGCAGCACTGAAAATCCCATCATCGGGCTGGAACATCGTCATGAGTATTTATCATGTCGTATCGCGAAGAGCTTACAATTCCTCCATGAGTGGACCCGACCGAGTCTATCCGCGGAACCTCAGTGAAGAGCGAGGGGGGACAAAGGGTCGCGAATACTCACAGTATACAGTCATACCAAGACCTACGAATGGCAAATAACGAGAAACGATGAAGATTATTCTCATGATCCCCCACCCTCTTCCCCATGTCCAACGAACCTGGCATCTTGTCAAATTTACATAGCACCATTAAAAATCACTAACCTCCGAGTCAAAAGTGATGATGAAGTCAAAAAGCTGCAAAGAGAAATCAGTAGTTATGATGACACCATTTGGCCCTACTTACTAAAACTGTCATGGAAGCAACTGTTTCAACGTCAACAGAAGGATTCAGTTTTGCCCACAGAAAAAGGAAAATGTAGACTACCTGAAGTATACTGAATCCAAATGAGCAAATAAAATCGATAGGTGAGGAAGAGTACCCACTGCGACAGCCTGAAAACCAACAGAATCGGGAAAATAGACATTCATGTTGAGCTGGGGTTGGCAGATAATCTCCTGTGGTAATATCTTATATTGAACCTGAAGAAGGAACCAGACAGTCGTCCCATCGAGGTTCCGGGCGTATTGGGTAGAATTCCCTCGAGTCACTGTTAAAGGTTAAGTACTAGTGGTGACCCGGTGACTCCCACAGCAATCGGAGTCTGGCACGGGGAATCCGAGGAAAGTTGACCATTATACGTAACTAAAGTGCTTCGCATAACGGGTCTATTACATAATAGCACTTCAACTACTTATACATGTGGTTCATGCACACAGCCATCGATGCGCATGTGGACGATTGCCCCATTGTCATTAGATCTGTTGCCAACTCCTGCCATATCAGTGTGCCTACAACAAGTGCATGTGTACGTGTCCTACTATATGAACAACAATGAGATGGCTATGCTCGGAGTAGGCCTCCCTTCTTGTTTTTGGCTTGTAGGATTGCTTGTAATACCCGCCTCGAAGACCTAGCGCCCAAACCTGACAATAAGTTAGCAGGGCTCAACTTACTACGTGCTTGTCATTCCGGTATTGGCCAAGTCTTTGACTTGCAAAATGACTCTGCGATCCTCTTATCTTCTCCGCCACGGCCACGCCACCGCGCTGAACGGCTATCCACTGCGAACAATCAAATGCAAGGCTCGTAAGAGTTTCCAAATCCCGTTCTGCAGGAGTGCGCTACGCATTCCCAACACGTGAAATCTTCTGGACCATCATGATTGCGGTGCTGATGCAATTTCCGATAGCGTCACCTCTCGACGATCGTCAGTTTACACATCGCCCGCCTGGAGAGTTGCAACGTCTAGGACCGACTTCATCACGACATATTGCACTTCGGACGATAGTTAGTGACGGAACTAGGGCAAAGTCTTTGAATTAGCGGACTCGCTGAGGTAAAACTGTGTACGAGGAAAAATTTCAAGTCCGAGACGGAAAGATGCAACCGGTCGGCGGTGAAGACGTCCCAAAAATGCGATAAGCCCCACTGAGGCTAGCGCGGAACTGATGACATAAGTACGCCGAATGCACTTATTTTAAACTCAGATTTCTATGGACGATAATTATATCGATCAATGTCTGTCTTATCTTTGTGTAGGTAACCATGCTTCCCAGGGAGGCCATTCCTGCTCTTGCAGGATCTCCTTGTTGAAACTTGCTTACATTAATGAAGAACCTTACGCTCAAGCCCGGCAAGAAGTCTGCGGAGCCCAACTATGTGCTTGTCATCCACGGCGGTGCTGGTACTATGATACGGGATGGCTCAACGCCTGAACAGCGCGCAAAGTACAGGGCTGCACTCTCACGCGCATTGAAAGCGGGCTATGAGGTCCTCAAGAGCGGAGGAGAAGCTATGGATGCTGCTGTCGAGGCTGTATCAGTCATGGAAGGTGGGATAAACAGGTATTTGGGCAGTCAATAACTAACTTCTACATGTAATTTAAAGACTGCCCGTTGTTTAACTCTGGCCATGGCGCGGTCTTTAATGTGGCAGGCAAGGTACGTTTCCTTACCTATGATTAAGAGCATTCCTGTATATCATGTCTAGAATGAGCTCGAGACTTCTTTAATGGTCTCCAAGCCTCCTGCATCACACCCCGCAATGCCCTCATCCAGACGCGGATCCTCAGTCACGTTAATCACTCATACCAGAAATCCTTCTCACCTCGCACGCGCACTCTACCTTGCGCCCCAGCTTGCCCCTCACCCAATGTTGTCGGGTGCAGCAGCAGAAGCCACAGGTGCTTTACTTGGCGTACGTCAGGTTGATCCATCCTACTTTTGGACTGAGGCGCGGTGGAAAGAACACAGACGTGGTCTTGGATTACCCGAAGATCCTGTTGAATACCCCAGACCTGAAATACCTGACGATACAAATTCAGAGACTACGGATGTCGCCAGCCTTTCTGACGACAAAGATAAAGAGACATGGGAGCCTCTTGATCTAATGCCAACGGGTACTGTTGGTGCAGTCGCACTTGATATCCGAGGCTGTATTGCCGCAGTAACCTCCACTGGCGGACGTACGAACAAACTTGTCGGTCGAGTCGGAGATACCCCCGTAATGGGATCTGGTTTTTGGGCTGAAGAATGGGAAAGGGACGGTGGATTTTTGAAGCGCAACTGGGATCGCCTAAGAGGCAAATCGAAATATGAGGGTGTAGGCGTTTCTGGTACTGGTGATGGAGACGTGAGAAACAGTCGAGCAGATATTCAGCTTGCAAGTGCTAATCATACACTTTAGTACTACATTCGCCGTGCTGCAGCTTCCAACATCGCTCGGCGGATGCAATACCTCGGCGAGTCTCTGGATGAGGCGACTCAGAACGTCATCGATGACCTGTTCAAGGAAGGAGGATTGGGCGGTGTCATTGCACTGGACAGAGAGGGAAACGGTACGGTTTCGTTCTCGTATGAACTGTGCAACTGACTTAAAACTCTGGGTGTACCAGTGGCTCTTCCACTGAACTGCAGTGGCATGTATCGCGGCGTTATTCGTCCTGATGGCGTACCGCTCACAGCTATTTTCTTTGACGAACAACTTACTGAACTGACAACAAACTGCACCTGAGCGTACATTTATCGCTGGTTGATAATTTTTCTCAATCGCATGGCGGGACACACATCTCTTTGATGGGACGGTTGATGATTAGGACATATGGAAGGTAGACACAAGTGAATTTAGAGTTCGCCTCAAAGTCATGGACAAGATTACTGGAACAACCAATAAGTACATATGGTTTTATATGCTTCTTCGTCGACCACCAACAAGTCACTTTGCCGGAGTGGTTAACGGGATCGCCTGCTACAAGTAGCTAAGCGGTTGGGCTTTGCCCGCGAGTGTTCGAATCGCTCAGGTGACGCTTTTTTGGTCCATTTCTGCAATCAAGGGTTCCCACGGGGTCTAATATGAACGTTATGTTATTCTCTTTACCTCAAGTCCGCACAAAGTGTGAATGTTTGAACGCTCACGATGAGCGCGAACAAATATGCAAATCTTCCCGACATCGTACGTCATATCGCTACTGTCCCTGTGATATCTCCACTTATTGACTGATGACAGGACACTGCACAAGATGTCTATGAAACGGAGGACGTGTTTCCCTCATCTGAGATCAACGTTAGTGCTCCTCGTGTTCCTACAATGCTGCCCACGAACAACTGATCTCAATCAGAAAGGAGATTCGGATTCTGACGAACCCTCAGGTCCACGAACACGCGCTCAGCGAGGTGCGGAAACTTCAAAAGAAGAACTCGACGACAGCAACTTGATCAGCGCAGAAGATGCAAGCAGACACTTTCGGAGAGCTGAACGACGTCGTGCGTTGTATTCCCTTGAACATGTATACTGTGTATTGGATTACAGACATCTGATCATACTTCAGGGCAGGAATCACGCTTTGCATACCCCCCGTCACCGACGTCCTCTCCATCGCGTTCGCCATCACCGAGTAGGCGGCCTCTCCCTGCGCGTCTACGAGCTCTGCAAGCTGAGCTTGCTGCTTTGGAGGGTGAGGTTGCAGATCCGTCCAATCCTGCACTTAAAGCCGAGGGCGTTGATGCTGGTGAGATGATCAGAGGATTGGTGGACGTGCGCAGACGGCTAGAGAAAGTCAGAATGGGACGCGAGGGAAGAGGGAGATTAGTTGGCGTTGTGCTTGGCGATGGCGGCAGGGAAGACAGCAAAGAAGACGTGGAAGAGCCCAATGCGGATGACAAGACAAAGGAGTCGAAAGTGCAGGAAGTACCGGAAGTTCGGGGCATCGCTGAAATGGATAAACGAGTCGGGGGACTAGAGAAATTGGTGGGCTCTGTGGGCGCGACTTTGGATGAGGTATGTATTTTTCGACGCCAAGGCGCAGGGCACTACTGACCAGGTTTCAGTCTACGCCGATCACGCCGCCTCTTCTTCCTATGCTCACGCGCTTGAATTCACAACTGATGCTTTTGACTCAACCACGGCATATCGACTCCATCTCCCGTCGACTGAAACTTCTGTTGTCGGACCTTGAGCGGGTATCTACCGCGCAGACACCAAAGCGCCAATCGCAGCAGCCTGGGGGTTCAACAGTAATTCCTGGCACTGCAACCCAGGATGCGCTCCTTCCCCTGTTAACGCGTTTGGCTCCTTCGCTTCCTCACATCCCACATATATTAACTCGTTTGCGTACACTCTCTGCACTGCATGCATCTGCGGGTGAGTTCCAGGGAACGATGGCAGCACTCGAAGAAGAGCAGCGTAAGACAAAGGACGCTCTTGAAGCTCTTCAAAGTGCCGTCGGAGACGTGGAGACCAGCTTAGAGGCTAACAAGGGAACAGTTGCAGGAAATGTGCAAGGTCTGGAGGACAGAGTAGACAGAGTTTTGACTCGACTCGAGGAGCTCTCAACGTAAGTAGCAATAGACGATTATAATGATACCATTAATGCAATGACGATGAATGCGAGTAAACTACATTGATGCCGTACAGCTTTTGTTCAATCAATCCAGATCGGTAACGCCACTATCTGCAAGAAACTCTCTGGCATGCTCCTTCGCCGCAGCTGAAACATTTGGATCTGGAGACGTACACGGTTAGAAGATGATACTGTGTGGTACGGGAGCAGATCTTACTATGGATGGCCGCCTTATATCCAGCAAGGACGCGATGCTGGTGTTCCTCTTCTGAATGTGAAGTATCAAGCTCGTGCTGAATACCAGCAGCGTCCAGCACTTCTCTGGCGTGTTTCTTAGCTTCCTCTGAAACATGGGGATCTGCACGAGTCAGCAAGACGGTGCTCCATCGCAACCAACCAACGTACTAGAAGTCGCTGCCTTATAGCCCCGAAGAACATTCTTCTCATGTGCCTCGGCCGCTGCTGATTGAGTGGCCTTTGTCTGCGCTGGCGTAATGGGGTCTGCTGACTGGCCCATCTCTTCGAGACGTTTCAAGGCGTTCTCCTTTGCCTCGCCTGATACATTAGGGTTGTGGACAGCCGCTTTCAGCCCAGCAACAACGCGCGCTGTGTCTTTGGTGTGCTCTGAGGTTCCTGAGAGACAACGAACTGGTAAGTATCGAAAGAAGAGGTCTAAAAATGTGGAAGACATACCGGACATTGTTGTGTTTGTTAGAGAAATCGGTGAACAGAATTACGGGCATAATTTCTCCTAGGACACGTTATATACCAGCATCAACAGAGGGGCTTCGTGGACTGACGTCGGTATGATATCATGTTCACGTGATGTGTGTGTCAATATCATTAATTATTTTTTGGAGTACGATTTCCTTAATAGGTAATAAAATATCGAGTCTGGAGTCGCGACTCATGGTGACTAAGCATCTCCAAGGTTCACTCAGTTGCACAGCCACACCAAGTCTTGTGCTATTAGCAACAAGAATCCATCTAGCCTTCGAGGCACCTGAAGCACAGCGACCAGTTACATTCCACTAAGGCCGCAGCCTCCTAATCCCTATAATGGCTTCTGTCGCATCGTCGAATACCCTCAAATCACATACATCTCCCTCGAAAGTATGCTTCACATGCATCACGCAATCTAATATTTGACGTTCGCTTAGCCCTCCTCTACTCGTACTTACGATGCGAAGCTTGTTTCGCGAGAAATGCACCGCCTCGGAACCCTCGCAGGTCTTAATCCGAGCATTACCCCTTCACTATCCACAGGTCCTGTTGCACCTCCTCTCGCGCTCGCACCATCAACCTCGCCATCTAGCAGTGGCATTGCAAGTGCCGCTGCACTTCATTCCAGCGCGTCAAGCGCGGGTATAACGGACAAGGATAATCCCTGGCGCACACTGCATGTGCATGTCCTCCCCCTGTTCAATGAAGAGCCATTGCGTGTACCCATGTACGTTTGTTGCGCGATCACCTGCTCTGCAAAGTCTAAGTATACACAGAGAAGACCTCAACGCCCTTGTACGGCGGCATATCCAAACGATACTAGCTGTGTCCCCTTCGAAAACCCTCGCGACTCTCGAAACAGACGCGCGTGAGCTCATTGCAGCAGGCATGGTCACTCTCAACGCCAAACTATCTAATATATCAGACGAAATACTATTGGGCCGTGTTACTGAGATCTGGGGCTTTTTCTGGGACCAAATACTCCCATATATCGAAGGGGTTAGCTGTCTTTCCCAATGACGATTCGTGTTTCTGTTCTAAGCTCATCTTTCAGGTCCTATTACCGTTGCAAACTGATCCCTTACTGACCTCACTACATCGTACGCAAAAACAACATCGGACGTCTTCGCCTACGCGACAAGGCGGTAAACTGGGTGGCTCATCAGCGCTATCCTCGCTATCTCCGACGATTGACGTTCGCAGCGTGGCTTTATGTGCGTTTCGTGATCGTGTCGTGCTTCCTGTCCATGGCCGTCTACATAATCTGCTGTCGCCTCCTTATGGGAAAGACATGCTTGCACGGCTAAGTCCCTTCCGCCAACCGAGATTGCAGCAGATGTGCGTGCCCTATTAAATTTTAAATCTAATTCCTCGTGACGCCTTCACTAGGTTGCTAGTACTTACATCTGAGCGGCGGGTCCGCTCTCCCTCTCCGCCCCTTTCACTACACACACCTGCAATTCAGCCTTCGGCAGGCGAGGCAGCAATCGAGTCTCTGCTCCGCCTAGTCTCGAACCAGCGGGTTTCGCATGGACATGGTCTCGCACCTCGGGCAGCCACGCCCAGTTTCCTGTCTGCCGGGCGTCCACGTGATCGACGGGGGCGAATTGGCTCCTCCGGAGCGGCGAGTGTACTTGGGATTGTTGGCGGGTGGGCAGCGATGCCCACACAGACAGATGAGCGGGAGGAAGAAGAAGAAGAGGGTGGAGAGACTCCGAAAATTGGGGGGATTGATAAAGGGCTGACGAAGCCGTATCACCAGCGTGGGGGTGGGTGGGGTCTTGGAGCTGGGAACGAGGACATTATCAGGCCAGTTGAAGAAGACGATGATGACGACGCATTAGACTGGGCTCAAGCTCAGGTTAGTGGGAGCTATCCAGCTGACGCGATTTTAAATTAATTAATTTTACATTAATGGTTCTAGGCTGTGGTCGAGAAGTTGGTAGGGATAAAACCCATTGAAGCTGTTGCCGATTCGCGCAGAAGGGCAACTTAGCTGATATGACTGATGGGTGTCTTCAGTGTTGATCGTCTGTGGACTGATACTGTACCTTGCTACGGGTATGGCCGCTTCCTGTATCTCGTGTTCCTATTTGCCCCAAAGCTGATATCTCGCATGAAGAATACTTAGAAAGGAGTACTAGTTGGACCTTCATTGACACGACATTTCATAGCTTTGTCTATCCTGATCAATCTTTGGAGTGTCGTGTTGATGAGCAGCAGCATCCGATCGCTCTCATGTACACAGTGGCCAGTGGTACAAAAGAGATCACCGTTACTGATATGCACTCCCCGAGAGGATGTATTGCAAAAAAGCGATTCCTTCATTGATGTCGATAAAAGGCGACAAACTTTCACCAACCAATATCATGATCTCGAACTCATCTTCTCCGTCATCATGGTACCCCCAGTGCTGATCACGAAGCTTTCCTTTAACTACTTTGAGAGGCACAACAAAAGCACGCCCTCTTGTCAATTCACTCTCAGTCAGCCCAACTGACGAAGTAACTTCACCGTCGCCTTGCAGAGTATTCCTGACATCGACGAAAGGTCGGACCGATATCAGCGAAGTTTGTCCCGTAACCACCACAAGACTACATCAGATGGGTGCTATTCGATGTTTAGATTCCACCGAAGCAGAAGGAACATTTTCGACAATGTGCCGCATCGTGTTGATGTACGTGATCTCCGTCTATAATCGAGCCTTTTGACTGATATGTTGATGGTCTTCGACGTGGAGCAACTGAGCATCCCACTCAATCCCTGTCCAATCCTCTCAGCTAGGCTCAAAGATTCGTCTCTGGCATGCTATGCAGACGAAATGGATCAGGCATCCAGTTGCGTGTGCTAATAGTCGAAATCCCGCTAACAGCAGGCAAGCCTGCATGTGTTTTCCCTTCCAATTTCTTTACTACTAATATGTCATATCTCGGTCAAGACATGAAAGGCAGCGGATAACGCACGTCGCATAGAATTCACGGGAATGATTTCGGTAGGAGGGTGTAAAATGACTTGCCTGCCTTTGCAGCTGCGAACATCGAGTGACCCGCTGCCATCCATGTTGAGACTGTCGATGGTGCGTGAGGGTCTGATGGCTTATGGCGATACCTGTCATATCGGTCAGGTTGTCTGGCAGTGCCGCCAATACCTACGCGTTACAGAGAGATCAGCAAGTAATGTGCCTACTATACATCGATTATAGCACTGCCAGCAACTTATCGGGAAATGCGAAGCTTGTTCCAGAAGAAGCGGTAAGGTCGTCGGACCGGCAACCAAGTGGAATCTAGGTCCTGCCTACTATGTTCACCGCCACTATGTAGTACTGGTGATTCACCATCGCTGGAGCTGCAATATTCCAATGTTTCAAGGGTCTGATCTGTGGCCAGGCGTGCTCGCAGCAAGTTGTTCTAGAACTCTATTATGTACGTAAGTATAATGCATACACGAGGTTTGTAAGGCACGATTGGGCTGTGTTCTACACAGCTGTTAAGTACTCCTTCGACCCTCTACGTCTTATATTCCCTGAACCTCTTACCAGCTTCTAACCCACCCGACGAAAATGCCCTCTCCGTCAGTTAAGGATTTTATCAAGGATTTCGGTCTCGGGAATGTGAACTTCTTGATCAGTTCATACTATCCAGGTAGTTTCACTCCATATCTATACGATAATGCAATTGGCTGTGCAGGCTGCACAAAAAACGTCGGCATTTTGTCAAATGAGCACTAAATTGTGCACATTGTAAGTAACGCCTTCGTTCGCTCAAGTTAGATTTCACTTAAACTCAAATCTCTTTTCCGAGTTATCCACGTTATCCACCTATGAATTTTGGCCTTGGGTTATCCACCAAGTTATCCACGTGGATAACTAGGCGGATATCTGCATTGGTGGATAACTAAATAGTTTTCCACGGAACACTAGTTAAATACCAATAGGTGTGCGACGTGACGTGTTTTCCGAGTCAGGGACCTTAGTGTTGCTGTCAAGTTTGCACGATAGGGTTTTCCGGACCGCCGCTTCTTGCTACTTCAATGGCTTCGGAGGTGAGCATTATTCCCAGAGATGTGACACCACGGGCTCCCGCAGATTCCCGCACGTGCCTCCATTGTACGAGCCCAAGTGTTGAAACGTTCCCACCACATAATTCCCAGAATTGTCATTCTTGCGACCCCACGGGTCGAGATTAAATTGATGCGGGTCTCAGTCAAAGCCAAAGTCTTGACTGTGTTTAGTGGCAGTCATCAGCTTCAGGGAATCGTACGCTGACCTGCTTGCTATACCTTCTTAAGACGGTTTATCTCCACTATGGCATCATCACATCCAAAGGTGTGGTTTGGTAAGCGAGGAATATCTCGGTGGCCCGAAAACGCTAATCGTCGTTGCTAGTCACTGGGGCGTCTTCGGGTTTTGGTCGAGCAGTTACCGAAGTCATGCTTCAGAGAGGAGACAATGTTGTTGCGACTCTGCGGAAACCTGCTATGCTAGATGACCTCGCAAATGTATACTCACAGAATCGGCTTCTCATCTTGCCTCTGGACGTCACAGTTCCTTCTGATATCACTACCGCTTTTCACAAAGCGCGCGAGACATTTGGTCGCATCGACATTGTTTTCAACAATGCGGGACTATGCATAATCGGTGAAGCGGAAGGCATGCCTGATGACGACGCAAAGCTCTTGTTCGATACATTGTTTTGGGGTGCCGCAAATGTCACGAAAGAAGCTGTGACAACGTTTAGAGATTTCAACCAACCCCCTGGGGGACGTCTCTTGCAAATGTCGTCTCGCGGAGTCCTGCAAGTTGTTCCAGGAGTAGCGCACTACGCCGCAGCGTACGTGACGCCTTCTCGCTCATCGGTTTAACTGACATTTGCATAGTAAAGCAGGTATATACAGTCCAGCTATTCTTGATTCGAGATATTTGATCGCACACAGCTCTTGAATCTCTTTCGGAAGGGTATGCTGCTGAGTTGGATCCAGCATGGAATATTAAGGTGCATTCTACGCACGATACTAATTTCGAACTCGAATTCATCATCCACAGATCACTGTTCTTCAACCTGCTCGCTTCCGTACTGCCGCACCCTGGACCAACACTCTCGTGCCAGTTCATCCTGCGTACTCTGATCCAAATTTACCTTCTAGACAGTACCGCAGCATATATCCAGGAGCTGAACATTTTTCAGACGGAGACATCTACAAGTTTGCAGCCCAGATTCATAGGCTCGTGCAACTAGAGGATCCCCCGTTCTATCTCCCGTTGCACAGAACAGCGTTGGAAGCGGCAAAGATCAAGGGCCAAAAGTTGTTGCAAGCTGTCGAAGATTACGGTAGTTGGTCAGATGATGTATATCTCGACGAGGAAAACTGTCAGGGGCGAGCATGATTTTGTAAACTTGTTCCATGCGCTGATTTCCGACATGCACAGTGTCCTTGAGGGATGCTCAATTCTAAAATGTTGTTATCGTTCGGGACTCGGGCACCGACTTAAGCCTATCTTGAACGGGACTTGTAACAATGTGCCTAAACCTTAATTCTAGTACTTAATCCATGATGCATGCTCGAAATAGGACATCCAGCTGACCTCGCGAAATCATCCAATTTCCACTTTCATTCGCTTCGTTATCTACTAAAGAGCTCTATCATGATCAGGTGGGCGCCGGTTCAATATTCCTTCCTCATAAGGCTCAGCTTTGTGATCATTACGAGTGTCCACATATCCATCTTCTGCAGATTGATCCCAAGCTCAGTCTCGTCAGACAATGACCTCCCCAAAAGTTTGGTTTAGTCGGTTTGTTTCTATGGCTGAGCAGGAAACAAAGCTAACAACTTTCTCTGCATTCAGTCACTGGTACATCGACTGGTCTAGGTCGAGAGGTTGCTGAATGCGCTTTGAGCAAAGGAGACAACGTATTCGCCACCCTGCGCAAACCTTCGATGTTGGAAGACCTCACTGCTAAATATCCCTCCTCCCGCCTCGTCACTTTCCTGCTCGATGTGACAGATACACCCTCGATCACCACGGCATTCAACGAGGCCCTCTCACACTTTAATCGTATCGACATCGTGCTGAACAATGCAGGATACTATATGGTATCAGAAGTTGAAGGCATGCCCCACAAGGCAGCACGAGAGATGTTCGATGTGCTACTTTGGGGTGCAGAAAATGTCATGCGTGAAGCCATACGATGCTTCAGGGACGTCAATCGTCCGGTGGGCGGGCGCTTATTGAACCTTTCTTCCCGGACAGCTATCATTCCACAGCCTGGCACTGTACACTATGCTTCAGCGTGAGTTCGCATATTCTGCACAGTTTATCTCGTAAGCTGACATTCGAATGATAGCAAAGCTGGTAGGCTCTCAATCTCATCTTATGGTTTTGAAGTCCAACTGGCCATTACTAGCTTTGGAGTGTTTGTCCGAAGGGTATATCAGCGAACTTGACCCAGAGTGGGATATCAAAGTAGGTCGTTTGTATTTCGGGTGTTGGAAAGTAATTCATCTCGATAAAGATCACTTTAATCGAGCCAGGTTTGTTTCGCACAGCGGTAATCCAAAACCATGTGGCGGAACCCATTCACCCCGCCTATGCATCCAATGCATCCCTCCCTACGCGCAAATACCGAGCTCTCTATCCTGACATCGAGAAGACGCATTTCGACGGCGATCCGGCCAAGTTTGCAGAAGTGGTCTACAAGTTGTCTCGTTTAGATGAACCACCAGTGCGCCTCCCTTTGCATAGGGTCGCCTTGGAATCTGCGAGACAAAAGGGGGAATCATTACTCGAAGCTGCCGAGAAGTGGTCTAGTTGGTCGGACGATGTGTATTTTCGTAATTGAACGAAAACCAGTGTTACATATTGCCGTGCGTCGCATATATCGGTTCCAAGTACATATACACTATCGAGAATGTTTTAGGATATACTGCATCATAGTCCGAAGCGCATTACTATCTATATATGCCTCCATGTCCTGGGTAACCATAGCCTTTGTTAGGACTACCATAGAAACTACCCACCGTACCTCGTCCTAGTCCTCCTGCTGCCCCTCCAACGAAGCCTGCTAGTCCTCCAGGACTACCCATAGGGTTAGCGTATGCATTCATACCCGGCTCAGCACTCCGCGCACGCCTATCGTGGTGTTTATGCTGTCTGCTAGATGACCTGTGGCGTCTTCGGGGCATTTGGATGACAGTCGTACTGCCTGGATAGGCGGACACCGTTGTGACGCTCGGGGCGCCGGTGTATGGCGAAGGCGCGCCGTAAATGGGTGGCCCATGTACCGGGGATGCCCCTCCATACGCAGAGGACCCAGTACCATAGGGAGAATAAACACCTCCGTGCGTCTTTGCAATTCCCATTCCATTCCCGCCTGCTAGTAGGGGGCTCTTACCACCATAAATTCCAGGACTCGCTCCTACGCCCCCCATACTAGGTGCAGTGGCCAAGTAAGGCGAGCTCCCACGCATAACCGTTCCCGCTCTCGAGCTATGTGCTCGTGTAGGGTCATATTGGGCTGGCATCGAGAGCCGCCTGTGTCTACCAGTGCTCTGACTGAAGTATGGTGCGTCATAGTCGATGGCATGTGGGTCGATCCCACCAGCCATGCCAGAACCTGTCATCCCGGGTGTCCCGAATCCTGAGCCATATGCGCCAACGTCCATTTTGGTATCGTACGATTCGTACCCCATCCCTGCACCGCGACCTACGTCACCTCCGGCGGGACCCGACATGTTCTATGATAGTATTGTATCAGTATCGGTGCGATTAGTCGACAGCCCATGGAATAGCTGTCCAGATGATCAAACATACGAATACTGACTTCATCGAATATATGTGATGCAGTCGCTGCTGCTGCTTCGCACGCTGGCATACAACCGTCCACATCAACCGGGCGTGAGATCATGTACATCCTGATAGCTGGATGACAAATATTGTTGGTTGTGAGGAAGAAGATACTGGCGAGAAGTAGTACCTTCTGCAATGGTAAGCCCTATGAATGCTTCTCGTTGGCGCTCAATTTCTGCGCGAAAAGGTTCATAAAGCACATAGTTGTGAATCCAGATTCGGTGCGCTTCGTAGGCCGAGGCATATCCGATTTCTTGGGGAGTCAGCGCATTGATTGCACACTGGTGATGTATTTATCTCGCTCAATTGGTGGACTCGATAGAAGATATGCCTTACAAGACCACCGTATGCCCGTCGGTGCCATATACGAGCCTCGTTGATACCTACACCCACGGGAATCATATCTGCATTAGAGATTCTGCCATACACCTGATTGAAGATCACACTGAGATAAAGTGTAAGTGGCCATGCTTTGGAGCGGGTTGTGGTTGTTCTTACGGGTCTATATGTGGTGCGTGTGCTCTGAAATAATCATATCCGCCCCCTATGCTCAATCGCTGAGTTCCTACGAAAAAGATATCGGTACACGACGTAGAACTTACAAGAAGGTTGTGGTTGAAACTGAATCGGGGGAGGACGGCCAAATTGTAGCTGTTTCTCTTAGTCAATAAGGTCCTCAGTGCTCAAGGTAATCGACTCACTTGGTTGCTTCCCCATCCATGTAGAGTTGACTGGTAATGAGGGTAGGACATTGGTGAAAAGTGCGAATTGATGCGAAGCAAGGGACGTGCAGCCCCACAGCATACTCGCAGCTATTTAATAAGATACACCATGTGCATGACATCACCGCTGGTATTACGCCAAATCGAAGGTGACCGTGGAGTGTGCACAGTTGATCTTGTGGAGCATTTTGTGATATCCTGTCTATAAAAAACTCAGTCACAAGCATCGATAAACAAGTACTGGTAAAGAAATCACTGCGAAGGGCCACTGAGCTCTACTTGATTGTAAACATGCGTAGAAAACCGTCGATTTCTTACCGTTGGACTTCTGAGCTGCTCCTGGCACTCTTAGCTAGTTGAGGCTGAGGCCTAGGAATCGCCCTATACATGAATCTATGTTGGGTTGTAGTTTCAATGCAGATGCACCCGGAAAAAAAGTATTTCTCGCCATAGTGCCCACAAGCCGTTTGGTCTTTCTCTTGAATTCGATATAAGCTAACGCATCTTTACAGAGGAAGTCCAGTTGTTGCGTTGTATTCGTGCCGATGTGCTCCTCGCGCTCCATGATATATATCCTTGTAATCCGGGAACGCTCAAGTTGCGTGCGTAGGCCGATTGGGTTTGGAACATGGGCATATAATTATGTCGACAAATCACGTCCACAACGGGGACAAGAGCACGTATTCCATCAACCTTAGCTTGATCTCTTGAAGATAAGCCTGGGCAAGGCGCAAATCGTTGTTTGCTGCAACGCTGCAGGCACACTCAGGCGTGTACAGTGTAGTTCGACTCCGACGGCGCGTTCCCACACCATGTTCCTGTGCTCTCCCTAATTATTCTACAACTTCGAAGTGACCCTACCGCTGGGTGAGCTAACCACCTCTTCAACCTTCATACAACTTGCGCTCAAGCCTTGGACACAAATCAAGAAGGACTCGAATGCATTATGTGGTAGAATTGTCTCAACCGTCTCGCAGTGACGCAGTCCAAAGGTGAAGTAACATTTTATGTTGCCACTAGCGCTGGTGACACTGCAGTATGTACTGGGGCAATACAACCGCTGAGTCCGGGAATGTCGATGAATCTGAAGAAGGCTCATTTAGTGTCGTAACACTGGTACTGCCTTCGGGCTTATCTACAGCATTCTACAAATACACAAACTGATCCTACGATTGGTGAATGAAGGATTCTCGGATTCCCATGGATAATTTATAAAGCTTGCCAAAAAAAACGGCTCGATTTCCGACTCAGACGGTGCGCTCATGCCAATGTCAGTATGTTTCTAACATAGTTGTCACACATTTGATTGCTGATCTTCATTGGTACATAAGGTCAACTTTACCGAACCGTGCCAATAAGACTCCATACGAGCCTGTTAGATCACAATGGGCCAGTCAAGAGACGAAAAGTCGCTTTTGGGCGACGTATGTGCATGAAGCAGCTGAGCATGATGGACAAATTCTCGATAAGTACAAAAGCGACATGGACATCGTTCTAATATTCGTGCGTTTTTACCTTAGCACCACCTCTTTCTTACTCATTTACTCAATACACATACCCATTGTTATAGGCGGGTCTTTTCTCCTCTGTTACTACGTCCTTCATTGTCAATATGCAGCAAAACTTAGCTCCTGATCCAACTACGGAAACCAACATGCTTCTCAAGAAGCTGATTCATACAGTCAACAATTCAACATTTTTGGACGTCAATTTCGACACACCACCGTGGACTGGTCCTGGCTCTACCGAAATATGGGTTCAGTCACTCATATATGCAAGTTTATCCGCGAGCCTTCTCGCAGCACTGGGAGCAATGCTGGGCAAGCAATGGCTCAACCATTTTCAACACTTTGGTCATGGAACGGTAGATGGTCGTGGAAGGCAACGGCAACGGAAGCTTGATGCTTTATATGCCTGGCATTTCAACGCTGTTCTGGAAGGTCTTCCCGTCCTGTTACAGTTGTCCTTGTTGCTGTTTGGGGTTGCTCTCGGTGCAAACCTATGGACAGAACAACACATTGTTGCCTGCATTGTCATTGGCGCAACCACATCTGGGGCCGTTTTCTATGCGCTAATTGTCATCGCTGCATTGATATCTGACGTGTGTCCATTTCAAACACCAGCATCTAATCGACTTCGCAGCATCGGTCAGCGCGTTGTCCGCTTCCACAACGTCCTTCAGAAGGGAAATCAGACCATCCTTTCATCATTCTTGCGCTTCGTCAGCTATATCCCCTGTACCATAATAACTTCACTCCACTCATTCGCATCATGCATTTCTCACCGGCTTTCCTCTCAGTACGCTATCGAAAATACGGATGCCCCTTGTATCCGATGGCTGCTTGAGACCTCCGATGACCCAGATGTAATTACCACTGCCGCCAGCCTGGTTCCTGAGGTCGAGTGGCCACCAGATTTGGATGTGTCTTGTGCCTTGCTCAGGCTGCGAGACACTTTCCTGAATTGCTTCGAGAACACAGAGTATGGTCAACCGAAACTTTCTGACTTTAGCCGAGATTGTGCAATTGCATGTGGGAAGGCCTTCTTGCATCTCTACATCGAAAGGCGGTCATTGGATGCCAGACCCGTCTTTCTGCGTGCTACTCATGATCCAGAATTCGCACTTACCAGCTCTTCTTGTCTGCATGATGTCCATTGGCTAACGTGGACTCGTCAAAATGACCCCGAACTCTCTTTCATCTGCGACCTTATCCTCGAGATAGTGCTGGATCTTGGCGTCAGCATACCCATTTCGCTTGGAAACTCGAAAATTCCGGATACCTTTCTGATGTGGATGTCTCATCCCCTACTCCATTGTCTCAGTGCAGACCAGTATGCAAGGTTTTGGAGGCGACGTGCATTGGATGTAGTAGAGAGGCTACTTGTCCTGCCCTTACCCCCTACGAATGTCATAGCAAACTGCCTTATGGCGGCAGGTTTGCTTCTGGATCAACTCGTTGATCCAAATCAACTAGTCAGCACAAACAAGGGGTAAGGAACTTTTTCACGTCATGTGAAGCTTTCAAGTGACCCATAATTGTGCAGGTCATCGATTAAAACATTGCTTGTATCTGTCCTCGAGAGCATGCAGCAAGCCATTGGTATTGACATACATCTAGAGCTTCGCGAGCGTTCATCTGTTTACGCCCTGAAACTTCTACAACCTCTGGCGGCTGTTTTAGAAGTCGAGCAGTTTCGCCAGACGGCGTACGATTTGGGAATGCCCGATTGGGGTGTTCGACTGTGTCAAAGCTTTGTCAACATAGTACTTCATCATCCGGAACTCTGCAGACCAGAAGCACGTGACAAGGCTTGGGTGGCCGCTCGCGATGCGCTGCATTTCAGTGTGATCACTGCTGGAAGTGGCGATAGCGGCGAGGCTGATGATCAGATCGCTTATATGGAAGAGATTCCTCGTCTCCGCACGACCAGGAATGCTGGTTGCGGCTGGCTTCTTGATTATATCAGGCATCACCATTTGATCTCTCATCAGTCAGCACTCGCTGACGCATTCCTCACGATGAGCGAAATGAACATCGACGCTGCCTGCAGAGAGAAGATGCCGACCTATATTAACGCAATGATTTTTGCGATGGCACCGGAAAAGTCTCCACGGCTTCGCAAGGCTGCGTTTTGCGCCGCGTATTCATCAAGGAACTTTCTTGCATCGCTAGACATCAATTCTCTCTCCCCGGATCTCTGCGCTCAATTTTCGGCAGCGCTTTCTAGCGTCACTGCTGACAGTATATCCTTTGGTCAGGGCGAGGACGGCATTCTTTCTGAATATTCCAGCATGTACGGGAAGCAAAACCTTCGTTATTTGCACATCTTGTTCTCGTGGACTCAAAGTGAACTATGGTCCCATCACTTCTATGACGGTGGACACCTCGAGGCATGCCTATCCATCGCCAAAAACCTTCGTTACTTCGAAATATATCCCCTTACAGAACATCTCGCCTTATACATCATTGCAATTATGGCACGACTACAGTCGGAAGGAGAACACAGCAAACTCATCCCAGACGATCTTTGTGGCTTACTTGTACACAAGGCTTGGGCATCTGTTGCCCTTCGTTCTCTCAAGCCACTCAACTTGTCGGAATCCGTCATACATGAAGTTCTCGAACCACTTGCAGAGCTCACAATCCAGCTACTGAAACGTGATGCGGAGCTTGTCGATGTCACAAGCGAGTTCAAGTCACGTGTACTGCAGACGCTGCACCACTTGGAACAAGGTCCCGCAGACAATATAGTGTTATCGCTGGTCAAGGATGTCGTATCACTGGTCACTACATGAGCTACCCGTGGGCGAATGGGTGTTTTAGTACCTGTCCCCCTTGGCTTAACTGTTGATGTATGTTGTTTGCCGATGTAACTGTATGTATCTCAATGCGAGGTCGAATTGTACAGGGCAGTTCCGAATCGTTACGTACATCATGATCAGTGGCCAATCAGTGGCACTGCATCTTTATTTCAACGTTATCCATTGCTGGCACGTTCGAGTCGTTCCTGTGTAACAGCTTCTTTCGAATATTTGGGTACATGATGCCTTTTTCGTGTCGATGCTCGCCACAGCTTACGTCGACTCTCTAGCACCACTGGCAGCTGCACATCGACTAGTAAAGGCATAACATCCTGACTGTTAATGTGCAGTCATATCGTTCGGGCGCTTTGATTGAGGTCCCACTGTGGCAACTGCAACCGTTGGAATGATATGGCACAGCTCATGCATATGAGGACCTCTCCAGTCAGTATGAACCGCCTTGCTTCGATTTTGTTGCACAGGTTCACGCAATGCCAAGCGCATTTAGTATTTATATAAGAGCGACACATTAACATGATCCTCCACATTCCGAACAAGACGGTCAACCTATAACCTCACTTGCCACCGCGACAGATGCCGAGTCAAGATGCTGGCACACAAGCAAATGGTGACGGCACAGAGTATGTTCCTCCGCAACAGTTCCGCTTGTCGACTCAAAAAATTTTCAGGGCTCCAGAGCTTCCTCAGAACTTGAGACCATCCGTAGAGACTATGGAGTCCCCCCATCCATCGCAGTCCCAAGGCGACGGGAAAGACACCAAATCCCGCTTCTGGGCCACCTATACACGGGAAGCTACGGACCATGATGGAGAATTTCTTGAGAAGTATCAATCAGACATGGATATCGTTCTCATATTCGTCAGAACCCTTTCTTTGTCCTCGCTTCGTCTCATCTGAGCTTGAATCACAGGCTGGTCTGTTTTCAGCCGTCAATACGTCGTTTATTGTAAACATGCAGTCGAGCCTCAACCCTGATCCATTCTACACTACAAACGTGTTACTTGGAATGCTACTCCAGACTGCCAACTCCTCGTTTGTCCCACCGGTTAATCAACCGTGGAAGGGACCTGGTACCTTAGTAATCTGGATCCAGTCGTTGACTTACGCCAGTCTTTGCGCAAGCCTACTTGCCGCCCTTGGAGCTGTGCTAGGGAAGCAATGGCTGAGCAACTTCAAACGCTCTGGCCGTGGTACCATTGACGATCGAGGTCGACAAAGGCAGATGAAACTCGATGGTCTTCGGACTTGGCATTTTGATGCTGTGTTAGAGTTCTTGCCCTCACTCTTGCAGATCTCTCTCCTCCTTTTTGGAATCGCATTGTCTGCTAGCTTGTGGATAATGTCACGCACAATTGCTGCCATCGTCATTACATCCACATCGCTTGGCTTCACATTCTATCTAACGATCGTCCTGGCATCACTCATGGCTGCGGATTGCCCTTTCCAGACACCAGGATCAATCACTCTTCGTGCTTTGGGTCGGTCTGTCCTCCATTACTATCCCTCGTTGCAGGAACGTCGTCGAAATTTCAGAAAAGCCTGTTTGAGTTTCGCTCTTTACGTCCCATTCAATATCGTTGACACCCTGAACACTATCTCGCAACGACTCACACCTTCCGTCTCTATTACACAGCAAACAGATGCTCCGTGTATCAGGTGGATTATCGAATCATTCAGTGACCCAGATACCATTACGACTGCGGCAAACTTTGTTCCTGAAGTGGAATGGCCACCTGAGCTTGAGATATCCACTCTTCTTCTGCAACTTTTCGACACGTTTCTCGGTTGTTTCGAAAACACTCACCTCGAGCAACTGGTGCTTGTTCCACCTAGACGGGAACATGCAGTCGCTTGCGGAAAGGCATTCTTGCACCTGTACATAGAGAGAAATTCTTTCCGAAATTCTGAAGACTCTCCACTCCAAGTCGCTATCTACGAAAAGGACATCCGCAAGCTCATATGGGTACATCACAGCGATCATGAGATATCATTCATTTGCTATCTTATCTTCGAGGTGGTCCTGGATAGGGATTCTCCAACACGCCTTTATCAACCAAAGATACCAGACACTTTCCTTTGCTGGATGTCACATCCACTCCTTCATCGCCTCAATGATTTGCGCTACTCCTCTTTTTGGCATGAGCGAGCCCTGGATGCCATCGCAAGAATTCTCGTAAATCCACTTCCTCCGAGAAATGTACTCGCCAATTGCTTTATGGCTGGAAGAATGCTTCTTGGTCAATCTACCAGTTGGGATGCGATTTCGAAGGTCAACAAAAGGTCCATTCAGTTCTTTTCAAGTCCATGTATGTACTGACAACCCGTGATACATAGCTCCACCACCGCACTTGACATCTTGCTAGAGCATATAATGAGACCAGAGTCTCGTGAACAGTCCGCAATCGTGCAGAGACTACTAGGACCATTAGGTGTGGTCCTCGAATTAGACGAGTATCGTCAAATCGCAAAACAGCGTCGTGCTGCGGAGTGGGGACTCGAAGTATGCAAAACCTTCATCAGGACTGCTGGACAGAACCAAGATGCCCAGGACGCAATCTGGAACGACGCTCGTACCGTACTACACTTCACCGTTATCGTGGCCGGTGGTGGGCCCATCAACCACAGTGATGCGTGGCAGAAGGGGCCATCTCGGTTATCGCTTCAACCGCCCGCTGATTGTGGTTGGCTCATCGACTACATCATGCATTACCACGATTCTGATCACATCGCTGTCATTGACGCTATGATAGCACTGAGCCAGTTACCTCAGGTCACATTCAACCCATCCAGGACCCCAATGATGGTCAAAGTTTTGGCGTCTTATCTGGGTTTAGAACAGCCGTCCGCCCTTCGAGATGCGGCTCTCCGTGCTGCTCATGCGTGCAGGAAAATCATCTTCGTTTACAATTTCATGCCGGCCAAACAGCTTCAAGAGTTCTCTGACGCTCTTCATTCCACTCTCATCGAGAGCGAGTCGCCACGACAACACCTGCTTTGTCTGCAAATCTTGTATTCTTGTGCCAAAAGCGAGGCATGGAGGGCTCACATACTCGAAAAATATCATAGCAACTGTCTTGATCTCGCCAATAGTTTCCCTTATCCTGGTGTTGATCCTCTGTCATCCGACCACCTTGCACTCTACATCATTGCGAATCTGCAAGCGATGCAAGAATTATCTGACCTCCCACTTGACCTCCCGGACGCCAGTTCCTGCCAAAAGCTTGTCCAAAAAGCTTGGCATTCTCTGGTTGCTCGACAAATCGGACACTTAACGGAGACCGTCGAGCACCTGAGTACCTTTACTGGGCACCGCTTAAATGAAGGCATGATCCTTGGTACGGACGATTGGATTTCTTGCATCGGGCAGGCTCTCGGTCAATTAAGACTGGCTGGTTCTGATTTTCAAGCAGTGAACGATCTGTTGCTATATATGACGACCCCACGGGATTCTAGTAGTTGACACTGATGCGATATATTGATGTAACTGTGTTTTTTTATGTAAGTTGCAGTAGACGCTGGATTCGCTTGTGGCTCTTTATTTGTTGCGCTTCTACTGAGTATACCCATGGTCATCAGTAATATATCCCGTTCGTTTTCTTGTATTACAAAAGCCCAACATGCTCACATGCACACTCGTGAAGAGGTGGGTATTGTTGTTGAGACTGCGCAGCATCCTTCGTGTAACAATTGTCACACGATTAGTTCAGAACGTCTTTTCATTACTTATCTGCGGCCGCTCATATGTATCCCGTCCATGGCATGACAGAGTACTAGGTGGTAGCTACGTAGATAGCTCAGGCCTACTTCCGCACCAGCTTCGATCCCAAGATCCAGAGGACAAGCCAATGAGGGAGCCAGTGGAAGAATGCGAAGAGGCGCGCGTTGGTCCCAAGTGATATATATGTTGGAGGGTTGGGACTCAGCACCTTCGCAACCACACGTCGTGCAAATTCATCAGTAGGCATGCACCCTTTGGCTTGACTGATATGCAAGCGTTCGTATACCCGATCGAAGTAAGGCTTGTAGATGGACGTGGGGGATAATTCAAGCGTGGCTGCTTGGTTGGTACTAATGTTTGACTTGACGCTGCCTGGTGCCACTAGAATCACTTTAACACCGAAGGGCTTGCATTCCATGGCCAGAGTATCGCTGAGCGCGTGAACCGCCGCCTTTGCTGCGCAGTATATTCCGTTCCATGGAGTAGGGCTAATGAGACGGGGTCAGTTGAAAGATGCCATCGCTGCACCGTACTCACAGATTTCCTGCAATTGATCCGATATTGACGATAAGCCCTTGCTTGCGTTCCACCATAGAGGGTGCGACTGCCTGTGCAACCCGCAAGATCGAGAACGTGTTGGTCTCGAAAGATTGTCTAGCCTGATCTAAAGATACATCAAGCAACGGTCCTGAGGGAAAACGAACATGACAACTGTTTCACTATGGCTTGAAAGGTTTGAACGAACCAATGGCCAGAGCACCAGCATTATTCACAACGATGTCGATTTTTCCTTGCTCCTCTAGAATGGACTGTACGACGAGTTTCACGTCTTCGTCGCTGGTCACATCCATGGTACGCTTTTCCACTGAATGTTTGAAGCCGTCCATCGTCTCCAGCCTACGAGATGTGGCATACACAGTGCATCCCTGCTCCGCAAAATGCTCACATCTGTTATTATATAAAGTTGAAGTAGTGAGGTCATTGAAGAGTCTAAGACGGTGGACTTACAAATGGAAGCCAATTCCGCCTTTTGAACAGCCAGTTACTAGAACGACTTTTCGCGACATGAGTGTTAGGTGAGGCAGGACGGTAGCATAACTTATAGGTATAACTTGGGTGTAACCGTGTAAGTAAGTCACATAGAGTCTATTTTAGTACGTAATGAGAAGTCCGTTTGGGCAGAGGAAATCTCCAAGTCAGATGACGAGCCTGGACCAATATCACACCAAGAAAGTTCATCCTGCATCAAACTAGCAAATAATACACTCTTTCCCTCCTTCCTCAGTTTTCACCAACCTCGCCTCTAACCGTGCTCGTAAACTACCATCAGACGCGATATGCGGGGATGTGCTGTGAATGGACATTAGCGTCTATTATTTCAATCCCCCGATTCGTCGTTGTATATTGGGGGAGGGCATGTAGGAAAACTCACTCAAACATCAACCCCGCTCCATCTTGTTCTCCGAGTGGCATTACGATCGCAGAGACATACCGCATCCCATGTTCGGACCAGGTATCAGGTTTGATGGTAGTAGGGTGAGGTAAGCCGTGTGGATCTGCTAGGAGAGACGTCACTAGTTAGGTCGTTCTATGTATGATGAATAGATAGTCAAAGCTCATCAAAAGTAATTCAACAAACAAGCTTCTCGCATCGAGATTAAAATAACTGAAAGAACCTCACCTCCATTCTTCATACGACAAGCAAGCATAGACTTGCCTACACTAAAACGGAGCACCACCGGAGTACACCCACTGGATCCCAACGAAGCATTCTTCAGCTTCAAGAGCTGCTTCTTGGGCGTGAGAGCTGTGACCTTACTGTCCAATACAGATGTTAACATATGCGAGGAACGAGACGAGGACGAGGACAGTTGCTTGAGCGAGGGAGACGAATGAGTTTGGATTAGCCCACGGTGGGGGTGCGAGGGAGGCGGAAACAGCATCTGTTTTTGTGCATTTGCACCTGAGAACGTTGCAGGACGAGAATAGCCAGAAGAGCTGAGCGAGGAAGGAGAAAGTAAGCGCGTGCGTGCTTGTTCACCATAGTTGGAGTCCGTTTCACAACCCCAAAGTCCCACTCCGTTCTCAAAGCCATAGCCTGTCTCTTTGCCTGAGAAACTAGCACTGTGGATGTGCTTTCTTGGTGAGGAGGAGTTTCTTGGTGGACGAGGACAAGGCCATGGAGGAGGAAGGGGAGGAGGTCCATCGATGACTACTGCTGCATCCACGTAGGTCGGTAGGCTGTGCTCGAGGAGGGAGAGTGAGACGTGCAAGGGCCCTACCACTCTTTTGTCTTTGGTGGACTTGGACTTGGGTTGCGGACGATCGGCGGTAAAGAAGGTTAATGCGAATATATGGCCTGAAAGGAAAAGAACATTAGTTGATTTTTCTCATTTGTAAAAGACTGAGGAAGAATGAAAGCAGGATACTCACCAGAGGCAATGAATTCCACGCTCACGCTTCCAACTGCGCGTATACGTTTCTGCCACATCGCAATATCCAGTGTTGCAGCAAAAGTACCATTGGGGCCCTCTTCAATACGCACGTCATCGGGTGGGCGTTGACCAAGAAGCAGTCCATCAGTAGCTAGCAACTCAAAACATCAGCCCCAATCCAGCTTCTCAACTCGGACTCACCACTCCGTAGTCCACTTGCGCACAGCCCGACACTGTGTCTGAGGTTCTGGAATAATGGCTGATTACTCACCACCAAACATGCCTTCCTCATTTCACTGAGTGTCGTAGGGGTTAAAGGAGAGGCATATTTGAGCAGAGCATCAAGGATGGAGGGGTTATAGTTGACGATGACCCAATAGATGGCAGTGTGACCCGCTATATGCGGCTCTTGAAGGAGCGTAGATAGTGATAGGTTCTTCGCGGAGCATGTTTTGGAGCAAGAAGCTAGTATTTCATGTGGATCTGCTAGGGCCGATTGCGGAGATTTGGGATTCGGGTTACCAGAGTTGGTTGGCGGAGGAATGACAAGGTCGTGAATAAGCGCAAGCACGGACTGACGGTCGCGTTTCGTAGCTTTGGAGGATATAAATGGTAGGAAAGAAAGCCACGAGCTTGAGCCAGATTTTGCTTTACGCGCCTGATTGCGCTTAGCGCGTTTTCGGTGGGAGGAGGATGCAGACTCTGTGGCAACGGTTTTACGAGAATTGAATTGTGGGAGCTCTGGGAACGATTTGTTCACATCCACTGTTGGGATCACCGCATCGTTTGGAAGTTTTGTAACTTGGGTTGCAAAGTCGATATTGCTCCTGCTCCTGGGCAACGTGTGTGCCAGACTCCGAGAAGGAGGCTCAAATTCTTGCACATCCGTTACAACAGTACTAATCCTGTTGGCAATAGGAGTTGCCTCATCGTGGTGAGCGAGAGCGATGGCGATGGCAGGTATCGATGGAACACCCCCGTGGATTGACAATGTGTCATAAGCAGGAGGTAAATGATCAATCTCAGGCTCCGATGCTTCCTTGTCCGACGTCCGCATTCTCGACATCGACTGGTGGGAAGCAGGTAATACGTATACAAAGAACTGCCATCATTTGCATTTATATAACTCATGTCAGCCTCATGCACTGTTATTCGGCTGGTAGTATTAGTGACTGACCCCGCAGTCAACAGGTGGTAGTACAGACTTTACACTGCCATCATTACCTGCGGAACGGGGACGTGAGCGTGTGAACGTCAGGCCTAAAGTCTTATTTCGTACCGTACGATCATTTGTAACTTTCCTCAAAGAAAATCATCATACAATTGCTTTCGAATTGGCTGGATCGGCGCATAGCGATGTGATAGGGTGACTTTTCACGCTAGAACAACTCCATGGTTACATGGTATTGCTACAAAATGTGTCAAAAGTACATTCCCAGTGTGACTCGGCAGCTGCCGCGCTGTTAGTAGTTCTCTGACCGACTCCGATGCCTATATCGTAGCCGTGCGTGCGCACCAAATCCCCGACTGCCTCAGGTGTGTGTCCTAGTCTATATATAATGGTCAGTCGTCGAGGATTCATTCATTCTTACAAATCGCTCATGGGTCTCTTGGACAGCATAAATTAATACAACGGCATCAGCCAAGTAAGCTGTTAAGCGTCCTTGCTCGAACCAGCTGTCTGCTGCTAGTGGAGGCGCCCAGGCAACCTGGTACACCAACCTCTAATCATAAGGGCTACATGGGTGTCACAGGTGGAATGTGGAGTTGTATCAAGGGCCTCAGGTAAGAACAAACGACCATCGTCTGATGATACAGCCTTTAACTTGAAGCGCTGAACGGTAGTATATCTAGCACGAACACTCGATCGTTTTATAACCCAACATCCTCCACTCGTTCACATCCAACTCTCAAATATGATCGTAGTCTCAAATGATCCCAGTTGGTGGCCGTTCATCAGTTCGGATCTTTTTCTCAGCTATTGGATGGGTTCGTCGTATCGTTTGGTGATGTCTCGATCTAACATCAACTTGTGGCTTTGCAGTTGCCGCAGGCCTCGTGGTGGTACACGATTGGGGTGAGCGGGAGAGCTTGTAATGCGAATGTGCTTATCGTTTTCTGCTCAAGTTCCGCATGTGCTAGCTTTGTCGGTGTCTCTTGCCTCCAGCTTATTGTTCTCTCCCCGGAGCTCGAGGTGCGCCAACATGTCACTGGTATCTACATGTAACCACTGCTCAACATTTCTGTAGCAGTTGACATACTGCATGGTGCTATGGAAATATTATTGTCCGTGCAGATGTTTGTGCTGGGACCACGCCTCATCCTTAGCGTCCGACAATGTCACGCTAAACTCGTGGCCGAATCTGACGCAGAAACTATCATGAATTCGATCATCTTCCAGGAGCGTGTACACATCAGGAAAATGCACATTTCCTGTAGGCAGGTGTTGCCTACATAGGCCTATGTAGACAGTGCCATCCTATGTAGGCAACTCTTAGGTCACATAGGCCTTGTAGACACCAATGAACAATAAACAATTCAACAAATGTAAATGACCGCACCTTGCCAACAAATTCCACCTCTCAATGCTGTTCACCAGTGATGGAGCGTTCAAACTCGAATAAGCAGTAAGAACTATCTGACACAAATGAAAAAAACTCATGTGTCTGACCCATCATGCACTAGTCTTCGCTCGCAGTCCCTGGAGATTGGTGAAAGTAGTACGACAGAGGCCACAGATGTGCCAGTGAAAAGGTCACGGCCTGGGTGACAGTGGGTGTGTTGTTTGAACTTTGTTCTTGCTGTCCCCGTTAAGAGCTAGTTCGGTAACCCAAGGTAAAGTAAATTTGCCAACTTCAAGGATGATGTAAGGCCGGCACAGTAGGTGCCGATAGCTGAGTTTCAACCTTATGATATCAATATTAGTAGGACTTGTTATCCATTGCGCTCATTGCTTTAGGGATAGATATCGATAGATTATGGATACCATTGACCCCTTGCTCCAACAACTCGCTCAAGCCCAGGCTGTTCAGCCGCCAGCTGCAGGCCGTCGGCAGAATCATATGCGAATCCTACGTCACATTGCACTACTCGTCAGTGTCCTTCTGACTGCTACGCACTCATTGCTTCAGGACTCTGTACCTGAGGCATACCACACATCGGCCCTCTCAGGTGAAGAATGGGTCATGGAACTCATCGTTGGTCACCCGGATCGTATGCGATGCGAACTTGGCATGCATGCAGATGTCTTTCACGCGCTCATAGCCGAACTTCGTGTTTTGGGTTATGCTAGCTCACGCCACGTTTCGCTCGAAGAGCAACTTGCCATCTTTTTATATACGTGCGTTACAGGGCTAACAATCCGTCATGTCGGGGAGCGTTTTCAACGGTCAAACGACACCATCTCAAAGTAAGTTTGTTTTTAATGTTATTTATGATGAGCTCACAAATAATTCCAGGTATTTCCGGAAGATCTTGTTTATCTTTGCGTCCCCCCCGTTCTACACAACCTACGTACGTTCTCCCAATGACACCGATGACGTCTCCAGCAACATCCGTAACAACCCAAAATTCTGGCCTTACTTCAAGGACGCTATTGGTGCGATCGACGGCAGCCACATCCATGCTCGCCCCTCATCATCTGACCGCCCCTCATATCGTAATCGCAAAGGTTTTGTTTCTCAAAACTGTCTATTCGCCTGCACCTTCAACCTCAAGTTCTCATACGCTCTCACTGGCTGGGAGGGATCCGCCACAGACGCACGCCTCTATGACGAGGCTCGTTCAGGCAGTTTGTATGTCCCTCCCGGCAAATATTTCTTAGCGGATGCGGGATTCCCTTTGTGTGACGAGCTCTTAGTCCCCTACCGCAGTGTCCGTTATCATTTGGCTGAATGGGGACGCGCTAATCTTAGGTATGTTTTATTTATTTTATATTTTAGGTTTTTTAATAACTATTCTATGTTTGCAGACCAACAACCAAAGAAGAGCTCTTCAATCTGCGACACTCATCCGCTCGAAATGTGATTGAGCGGATCTTTGGCGTGTTAAAACGCCGTTTTCGTATTCTTTTGCTCTCACCTGAATATCCTATGACCATCCAGGCACGTATACCTGCCGCGCTATGCGCGATTCACAATTTCATATCAACTCACAACCCTGACGACAACGTGCTCCCGGACGACGACGACGAACACTTCGATTACGACAACCCGGAGCACCAAGGGATCCCCGATGATGAGGAGGTGTTTGACGGAGCGGGAGGCATGAAGGAAGTGCGCAATCGTATTGCGCGCTCCATGTGGGAAGATTATCAGACCGTTTTGCAGCAGCGGGGCCTGCTAGATGACTCCTTTGAAGATTCTGACAATGATACGTAGCACTGTAGCACGACTCTCATGTATCCGCCGCCATCAAAGCACAAGATGTTTGCATTACCATGCTTCAACTACTGCATTATCATCATATGTTGTGTCAATAGCGCATTTTACATGAGTATACTAACTACCAGGCGCAGGAAGTTGAAGTCCCAACCGCTGGGCTGTGGAAAGAATAAAAGCACGGCGCATCTCCTTGTCAGCGGTCTGTGTGTATATGTCAGTAGCTGCAGGGTCCATAGAAAAAACCTGTTGTATTATAAGCCGCTCTGCGAACGGCAGCTCTGCATCCTCAACCTGCAACATCTGCATGGCCCTCGAGCGCTGGTCCATTACCCGATCCTCAGGATAGACCATGCGCTCAGCAATTACATCTGTCAAGCAATTGACAGAGCTCTGGAATCCCATCACGGCTACAGCTGTGGTGGCCTTCGATATCTTGGTGTCCAACGGAGTCTGTGCATGGCCTCCTGATCCACGGCCTGATGCGCGGCCTGATGCGCGGCCTGATACTGTCTTCGCTCTTTTGATAGAGCTCGACTCGGAGGGAGGCGGCATTTGCATTTGAGAAACTGAGGTAGATGCAGATGAGGCGGTCAGCTCCATGTCAGTGTGAGAACGTTTGCCAGGAGGAGGCATGAAGGATGGAGAAGCAGGAGGAGGCATGAAGGATGGAGAAGCAGGAGGAGGCATGAAGGACGGAGAAGTAGGAGGAGGCATGAAGGATGGAGAAGCAGGTGTAGAAGTGAGGGCAGCTGCTGCAGGGGCGGTGCTAGGACCAGCAACACCAGCACTAGACGTGGCAATAACGGGACCAATCATGGTATTGTGTTCACCTGCGGGTACGCTAGGACTGGAGCTTGAGCTTAAGGGAGGGGGGAGAGCTATATTGGGTTGGTACCCTGTGCGCCCTCGGGCGCCACTGCCTCGTGGTATTATGCCGTCCATTTGCTCGTAGTGTCTCCATCCTGATGCACGAAAAGGGCGCATGACTGAATTTCCCTATTATCAAACAGTGAGACGCATGAAATAGCATTAGCGAACTTGACGTACCTTCTTGGAAACATATTCATTCCATACTGAGGTTGAAGCCTCGCCCTCGACATTTGCCCCTCTAATATTGTCCCAGTGGACACCAGACTGCTGGCGGTACTTCTGAATAGCGTTGAAAGTCTGCTTTAACTACACGATCTCTTATCAAGTCTATAAAATGATATATTGATATGACTTACTGACGCCCATTTTGTCTTACACATTGCCCCACTCTTTGCTGGACCATGCTCCAGGTACTCAGCAATAGCCTCTGCAGCGCCATTGTACGTCGCATCTTTGAAGTTGCCAGCATCACCGATCTTGTCCCGATTGTTGGATAGGTAGAGGAGAAACTGATCAACCTCTGTGTCGGTCCAAACAGCCCTCTCTGTAGTAGTATGAGATGACTCCTGAGCCATGGAGAGGATGTGGACTTGAGCTGATAACACTATCGATATGACACTAGCCCAGATGTTGTTCCGATTGCATAGATCTTGAGTCGTATGCTGGGGTGTGTGATAGCTAGACATGGATCAAAGGAAGTTCAAGCTCCGATGTCGGTCTCCAAACCGGAAGCTACTGTGCCGGCCTTACATCATCCTTGAAGTTGGCAAATTTACTTTACCTTGGGTTACCGAACTAGCTCTAACGGATGTTTTGCAGGCCACTCGTCCGAAGGTTCCCATTGGAAAGCGCTAGCGGCTATATAGCCGCAACCTCTGCTACATACTGCTACAGTAATCCTGAACCGTGTGATAATTGACTTGATGGAATTTTCGCAGTATTGTCATATTGCATTGGTATATGTTGCTATTATTGCAGGAATATACATGTAGCCTTGTAGCCCAGTTGTAATGATGCTGCAGTTATAATTGTTCAAGGTGGTGGGTTCAATTCCTACCAATTGTACATATATAATATGTGAAATTCAATTAGTCATCTGATGATGGCCTATCTGAATTATCTAGCCAGCTTCGTTTTTGCTGATGTATACAGTACCTAACCTAAGCCTACGGTGCCTACGAGGAACCTACTGTATACAGGGCCTGCCTACATAGGCGGGACTTAACTAATGGCCTAACCAGCCTACATTGGCTACATAGGCTCGCGTAGGTACTGTGCTTTTTCCTGATGCATGTACCAACTAGCAGTACTGTGTAGGAAGTGATTACCGAGTGTTCTGCATGAAGGATATATTTAGTCGAGGATCCCTCGTACTATTTGTTTTAATTATGGTGATTCAAAGTATATTTAAGACGGGGTTTATGTAGACATCTCTTGTTGTATCACTACTGGAAGTCAGTGAACCGCCCGCCCACACTTGCACCAAGTGGCGAGCTGAAAAGCATGGCAATGAAGTTCAACAGGGTGATAGGGATGTATTCGAAGATATCTTGTAGGGACATTAGAGGGTAGATAATGTCACCACGTAGGTCGTTGTAACAAAAGAAGACAACTTGTGAGTTGACCAGTAATATGCAAAACGTATCAACGTACAATGATCGTGAGAATGAGAGCGACCATGATCGATGATTTTATGTATCGATAGGGACACAGGGTAAGTCGACGGCTGAAAGTTTCTCTTGTGGAGGAAAGGTTTGGATATGACGCTTGAGTGTTCGATTATGGCTAGATGACAGACAAAGTCAAACTCTGCACCGAGCCCTTTCTGCTGAAAGACTGAGGGTCATAGATCAGAGTGGAATGGACTGCCCCCATATCATCCATCTGGGCAGCAGGGAAGTAGTGATGAATCGTGGGTGAAGGGTGAAAGTCGGCTGTCGGTGTCCTCAGCAAGAATTATTATGGTTGGGCGTCACACCAGATCATCGGATATGCAAGGCTATTCTCGTTTCGGGTGCTAGTGGCACAGTATTGCTGATCGATGTCTGTTCAAGCATGATTCGACGATATCGAGCATGACAGTTTAAAATAGACTTACGAGGTGAGTATATGCCTCCGATATGGATGAATGCGCGAGACAAGGGGATGAGGAGGGGAGTAGAGAAGAGAACCAGGGCTTAGAGTCGGAAGGCATCAAGCGCACCTGGGAAAAGTATCAGTAAGGCGCTGACCACATCACACTGGCTCTATCATGTCACTACCTGAGCAAAGCAAAAGAAGAAATGGTAGCGAGTCGTGAAACCTTAGATGGCTGATACTGTGTTCATCAGGGAAAACCTCCTGCACAAACTTAGCTAAGTTTAGATCTAACTTCAATAATTACCGAAAATTCTTCCTAAATATAGTGTTTAGCAGATTATTAAGACTCTTTTACCCCCCCTCTAACTTTTTCATAATTAGACGATGTTTTTGCAGATTATGTAGAACTTAGCACTAATGTTGTCAAGATTTTCCGCGCTTTCAGATTTATTATTGCTTACTAGAACCGACTCGTATACAAGAAAGAAATTAATTTTCATTAAAAAGAATGTAATAGTCAAGAGCAAGTATATAACAATTTCAAGAGACAATACTAAGGAGATTTAGTCTTCGTCCATCCCGTCGAGGTCAAGGAATGCAAGCGCATCAGCTTCTGCATCAGTGGCGGAATTATTGTACTGCATGAGATCCCTTGCAAAAGACTCGAGTGAATTTAAGATGTACAAGAAAACAAGATCAGACATATTGCTCGAATGAAGATCGACACACTCACGAACTGTGAACAGTGGCCGACGACTTGGATCAGCATGGCCGTTGCTCGAACGAGGATCGACATACTCACCAACTGCGGATGGTGGGCAACAGCTTGGATGAGCATGGCCATTGCTCGAATAAGGATCGACAGGATTTGACCTCCATAGCAAAGTTGGCAAATGGTTGGATGCGGTAGAGAGGGAAGGATGCAGTAGAAGAGGGAAGGATGACGTGGCTTCAATGTCGAATGTTGAACGTTCGGATGTTGAAACTCAAAGTCACGTGAGTCAAACAAAAACAAATAAGTGCAAATGTTGGACTTGTAATTTGTTGCTCGCTATGTGGTGTCAAGTCTGATGCTACCTGCGCGTTTCGATACTACACTTATCAACGATGGCACTGGTGATTCTGTGGGTATCAAAGGTGAGTCTTACTAGTTGGAGTGAGTTGCCTTTACTTATACAATGAATTTTCAGGCTACCGTGTTGGTCAAATTCGCACCATTTTCTCAATTCGAGAACAAGACGCACAGTTAATGTTCCCTCTGACCCACCAACCTCTGAAACACCTCGCTTACGTCGAATGGTTCACCCCGTTTTCTTCAATGCCAGACTCGCGGCATGGTATGTACAAAATTTCTTGTTTCCTTCGTTCGCGCGAGAGAGTCGCTAGTATAATCCCTGTTTCAAACATTGCTCGCAGTATACACCTTCTACCGAAGTTTGGACCAGTTGCACCTCGTCACTGGACAAGCAACACCATCCTTGAAGAATGTAATACATTTTTTTGTTAATTGTTATATAGATAGGTATAGTTTTGTGGCCCTTAGATAGTACTTTATAATTTCGCATAATAATTCTAAAATTATCAGGCACTAGCAAGTTTATGTTTATCTAGCTCTAAAACATAGTAATTTATCTGCCTTAGCAAAAATTTCTCTACTTTGTCCTAAGTTCGCGCGGGAGGTTTTCCCTGATGTTAAATCAGCGAGTACGCCTGGCCACCCTCATCATGCATCTGGGCCGCAGCCTGAGTGTGCCAACTCGTGCATGAAAGATGGAAGCAGGGTATCGATGTCCTGGAGACCACTAGTCAACTGATTAGCGTCTGGTTTCAAGCACGAATTAACGATATGGAGTATGGTGGTTTAAGAAGGCTTACGGCTCAAGTATATAACCCTATCACAGATGCGCATGGCAAGGAGATGTGATGTGCTGAGCGGGGAGTCATTACTTACCCACTGGGGGGTACATAAGGGTACATATGAGCGTAGATGCCGGCCAAATAAAATATCCGCTCATGCAGATTCAATCTCAGATCTCAGATCCCAGACCCAACTTTGAAATTTGAGGACCTGTCAGCATTTCACTATTTCACACCAAGGAGTCTGTTGGATGTCTACCACAGCAGTATTATGCCAAAGCAGTGTAGTAAGCCAAAGAGAGAAAGCAAGGTACGATAGAAATGAGACCTGTTAGTAGGTAACACGAAGAGAGATAGGACTAGGACTGGAGAGTCGGACGAGGACTTTTAGAGGAGCTTTCGGTCGTTCTTGGAGCGGGGATCTCACTATAGGATTCGCTGTAGGTATGAGTGTACATACGTACGTTTTCGAGTAGCTTACCAGGCCGAAACGAGAGTGAAGAGCATGTGGAAAGTGAAAAGATATCAGTCAGAGTACGGGGATCATGGAACGAGAGCACGAGGTATATAACGAGAGAAAGTAAAAGGAATAAGGAGGGAGCGAAGGACAGAAATGAAAAGTAATGGTAGAGGGAATGTAACTGCGTGACTCGAACGCGAAGCGTAAAGCTTGTTCGCACCAATGAGTCACATGGACAACTCAGGAGTTTTCAATGTAGAAGTCTGAGTCCGTGCATAGAGGATAGGCAATCCTTACAGGGATACAACCTCGTGGGTAGCAGTAGCCCAACTCGAAGGAATGAAGAGACGTCCTTCGGGTCCGTGAACATTATCGGCGACTGCAGACTGAGAATGGCATGGCTCTGATGATTTGATGTGCGCACGAAGGAGATCGTGCCGGCACTTCACGACTCCGCACGCAGAGCAACACACCTTGACACCAAGGTGAGTGAGGAGATGTCTGATCATGCTTCCCTTCTTGAGTGTCTTGGAGCAGCCACCCCATGTACAAATTGTACTGATGTTGTCTGGACCAGCGATGCCGTGTCTTCGCAGGTGAGCAGACATTGCACTGGTCGTTCCCTCTACATACAATCCGCAGAGGTTCCCCTGCAGTTGACGCTTATACAGGATGACTGGCTGACCGCTTTGATTTGCCCGTAAAATTGTTTCCGGATCCATGTGAACGATACCGAGAGGCATGCTGTGGCTGGTTAAGGGGACGTGCTGGTGGACGGTGGTCGCAAGGATTGCATGGTGGATTAGTAACGATACGAATTGTTGTTTGGGTTAAACGTACCACAGGGATTAAGAGTGTGTGTTCAAGTAGAGAGCTAAGGGACCAAAGGTTTTTGACATACTTGCATTTCGGTTGCAGGCATTTTAAGCTATTCTAGACGAGGTGGCATATTCCACGCCAACGTGAATGCGAGCTACGTACCATGCAAAAGAGTTTCAGCCAACTCGTACGGACGGCTCTGGAGAGATCCGATGACTCGCACAGCGAGTCGCAGCACATTAGTGTGCACAAGTGTGGATAACTTGTAATCATCAATCAAATAAGACGGGCTGTGTTCTACCACAAGTCCATTGAGGCCGATTAGAGTTCAGTTCGTTTAACAAGTACTGCCGATGTTGGTCTATTTGAAATGGCGGCTAGTAGTAGTATGGAAGAAAAGCTGACATAATGGTTCCCACAGGCGTTTGCTGCAAACAGAACCGGTTCGGACTCGTCGTCGTCAAGAACTGGATGAACTCTAATCGACGCTGCTGATTCCTTGTGGTGGAACATAGCCAACCCGTCGCATTTGATTGATGATTACAAGTAAAGCTGACATAATGGTTCCCACAGAGAAAAAGACGTTTGCTGCTGTCAGAACTTCTTTTACGGCATTTTGATTGATTAAAATGCCTTAATGGCCTGGCCTGATTCTGATCAGATTCTGATCAAACAGTCAGCATTTTGATGACCATTATAAGTGCATTACGACCGACATTTCCATACCTGTCGCAATTGGGTTCGAAACCATGATTTTAATCATAAAATGGCATTACAACACCGATTCCAATAGCAGTCATGATTTGATTTAAAATGGGTATTGTAACCATTGTTGTCGCATTAGGATGGTCATGTTCAGCGTCACAATGAGCATTTTAAACTGTGTCATAAAGGCCATTTGGGCTGATTCAGATTGTTTTCGCTAATAAATCATATTGTTGGGCATATATTCTAGTCTGAATCTGCAGTTACAGTAGCAATACATACTATGCCTTGTATTTAAATATAGCGGACAGGTGTGCGGTAGTACCGAGGAAGTGGTGTCAATATTGAGTTGATGTCTAGAGTGGGCGGAGTATTGCAGGAGCCAAAGTCTGGAACACCAGCGACATGGAGAACCGTGGCCATTGGGAAACGATGGAGGTCGTGGGCATGATCATTCTATCACTATCTATTAGAAGTGTTAAGACCGTGCACAAAGGGTAGGACTGATTCCGAGGGGCTTGGCTTCAGCTCGTGCGCTGCGCCCCTTACCCGAGTATGTGCCCTTAATTTCAGAATGATGTCCGAAGCGCGGGAAAGTTCGGAAGGACTTTCCGGACGAGTGCAAGTAACTTCCGGATGAGTGCGGGAAAGTTCCGGAGGAACTTCCGGAAATTACGATGAGGTTTCGTCCTGATATGGATACGTGTAATGGCTACTTAGGACAAGTCCTAAGTAGAAGCAAACAGAGGAAAGGCTGCAAGGACAAAGTCCGAAGCAGAATAGGTCCGGAGGACCGCGGGAAAGTTTCGGACGAACGTCCGGAAACTTCGGAGGATCGGATGAGCGGATAAGCGGAGCTCTGGCCTAGGGAATTTCTCCCTAGGCCCGAGATGGATATTGACTAAGTCGATAGACTAGAACTGATGTGAGGACTTAGAGTGAGATCTAGTGCAAGGACTAATATGATATTCAGACTGAGGAACTACAGGACATATACAAGAGTTTATATACTAAGGAAATAACGGAAAGATCAGTAAGCAAGCGTCCGAGGCTATGTATGAAGCATAAGCAAAGTTATCAAGCGCGAGTCGGAAATGAAGCATAGGTTAACGGATCAGTAAGCGTACCGGTAGTAAGTATAACCGAGATACCGAGGACAAGGAATACCGAATAGAGGAATAGGCTGTGTCAACGTTATATGCACAGGAAATGAATTAGGAAGCTTATCGTATATCGGATCGGACCGGATCAGATGTCCGGACAAGAAGTGTGGATATACGGGATATGATATTAGGGCAATAGGACAAAGGATGAATGATGCAGGCTAGCTGCGGAGGTATGGGGGTGTGATGTACGGAGGTAAAGGGATCTGGACATGGATGCGCGGATGTGGATGTGCAGAGGTGCAGGGATCCGGATGGGTAGAGGACTGGAGACATGGATAGGGCATCCGAAGGTCCGGATGAGGCGTGGGAATATCGTCGGATGTAGGTCCGGAATACGGGATATGACAAGAAGGAGTTTAGCCTAGCAGGCAAGTCATGCACATCAAAGTAACATACCTCATTGACGCTGCTAGCAGGTCATACCTAATAGGCAGATGCACGAGCGCTGCTGTGTGAGCAGGGTATGGCGTACTCGTCACCGCATCCATCGCGCAATGGTGCTGGCCACTCGCTAATCGTGTCCAGTCGTGACTTTGACTTGCACGTACACGACGGCTTGTGCATGGGAGGTTGAGCAAGCGTATCACCAATGGTCCGGCGCTTCTGAATTGGCTGCAACTGACACCATAGCTGATTCAGCTCCGAAGGCACGCCACCCATGACTATGACAATCATCTCAATGACGGCCCCATGAGATAGACAAAGAAACTCACTTAAGTTGACATAATTGTACATTATGCGTAGAGTTGCTGCTGCAAGTACAAGCTGTCTTCCGTCGTGTTTCAGAGGGACTCCCCTCGAGGATTCAGATGTGAAGACCAGGGGTCCTGCTGCGACATACGGCCTTCAGGAAAGGCAAGAGCGAGGGGATACCGAGCGCGGAGGTAACGACGGAGAATACACGAGCGGTGGTGTTACGAACGTACTCGTCGGCGTGGTCAATGTCAGGATGCATAGTGGATATCATGTGTGCGAGACCGGCAGCCTTGGAAAGGTTGGATATAATCTCCCGACCCTCCACACGAGTCATCAGGTGATTCAGAGTAGAGAGCGCAAGGGCAAGACAACATGAAATGTCAATAAGAAGGGGATTCAGATGTTGAGGCAGCCGCGATGACTTGTTGTGGTGGAGAGTCTAAGAATAATAAATTTGCGTGTCAATGAACAAAGAATAGTCTACATGGAAATTCAGATTCCGATGACATGGCAACTTAGATTTTAATTGATCAATAATGTAGCAATAAAATTATAATACTTATTACATCAGCATCTTTGCGCAGAATAATAATACAAGTCATGATTCAGACTGGCATGAAGATCAACGCCAAACTTGGAGGCGTCAATGCGCGAAGTTCTGATTCAGATAGTATTAGTAGTCTATTAAGTAATAATAAGAGAAACTCACCAGTGCTCCGTTCATATTAGTCATGGGTAAGACTGGCATGAAGATCAATGCCAAACTTGGAGGCGTCAATGAGCTTCTGATCCAGATAGTATTAGTAAGTAGTCTAGGTAATAAGAGAAACTCACCAGCGCTCCGTTCATAGTCATGCATATATATCGTCACTAACAAGCTATTTATTAAGTGGTGAGTGAGGCGAGCGAAGTTCAAAAACAACTGAAGTATATTGTCAAGGGACAACGAAAGGACTACTATTAGTAAGTCTAAGTACATAGTACGACTGCACTAACCATTCATGACAGCCCGGAATTCTGATATCAGTATTATGCACCATTATGGGAAGAGTGGCGAGGGGCCACATCTGTTCCAGCCACTGCCTTGCCTTTTCTCCTCCCCTTCTTCTGCACCGTGACCTTCATACCCTCACCCCCAACAGACACACCTTCCACATATGCTACTGCTGCTACATCGGCTGGAATAGCAGCAGGGCGGGATCTGGGAGCAGACACTATGACAGGGGTGGGTACAGTAGCGGGCGCAGTCTGAGGTGCCGGCGATATTGGTCCGAAACGACTACTACCATCTGAATCGTTATTCCGAATGGCAGCAGGTATGGAATGGGATGACTCTGGAATGAGGGTGAGGATATGGGAGGCAGACATGGTGACCGGTGCAATGGAAATGCTGGGTGCAGGAAGGGGCACAGATGCGATGATGGGTGCAGGAGGGGTACAGATGCGATGATGGGTGCAGGAGGTGCAGTGGGCGGCGCCCGTGTGGCTGGTGGTACTGCCTCTGCTGCGTTGTCATCTGAATCTGAGTCATCGTCATCCAAGCTGGCCATCACCCGCTGTAGCGAATCAGTAAAATCCTCCGTGCCCGCAGCCTGAGCGTCGTCTGCATCATGAGTGGTCTTGTCAATGTTTTCGAAAACATAGTCATTCAGGTTTTTCACAATAGCTTGAACACGCGGATGCGCCCATTGACTAATAAAAAACCGCTTGACAGTTCGAAAGACAGTGCAGTAAGAGATTGATGAGGTGGCACCGACACCTGAGCCTGGGAATTGTTGATCGGGAGACAGCAAAAAAATCATCTATTGGGGGATGCGCCACTGTTCAGTAACCAATAGTTAATACTGTAATATTGGAAACATACCGAAGTTACACTACATGCAATTAATCCGGGTGTGCAAGCCTTCAGGTGCCACAACTTATAGTACGGGCTCGGACCTCCACCACGTCCTGACTTCGAATAGATTGACATCTTGCCGCCCACTGCAACTTTGATAAACTATTAGAAAAGGATGAGTAAATGGTTTTGTAAGTTTGTCGTGAACATCGCACCTTCGCAATCATGAACCAATTACCAAATACCTTCTTCGCATTGACCTTCAGATCAGGATAGATGATAGGTGCATTGAGGACATCGAAGTCTTTCCCCTTTCCTGCCACCCATCCAATCATATCCATGATCTGCTGGTTAGACATGCGATCATACGATGCAGAGAAATATTCGGGGGCCATGTTGAAGATACTGCCAGCTACACTCCGCAACGCATAGTGGTATGACGAACGCACTCTTTGCATTCCAGTGCAAAACTAATGCAAGACCGTCAAGCAAGCAACATCAAATAAAAAGAGAAGACTAACCTTGTTTACGAAGTAAGTGGTCGACATGTGAGGGTGCAGCGTGTAGTCAATACAGCCATAGAGCTCTGTCACGAGGGTGTCCTTCTCTGTTGATTTATTTGCGTAATGGCGTGCACCTTGGATGTTGGCAGGGGGATCGGGACACGGCAATTTGAAGATTGAGTCGTCGAGCACAAACATCTCAGTGGTGAGCCCATACTTCTTCCCCAGGTCCACGATTACCTTCTCTGATTCTCGATCAGAGTCGGCCGCAGTTGTCATTGCAGTCATGGCCGATGATGCCGAAGATACAGCAGACTATGGTACCTGACTAGGGGAACATTTACGCGACCGCCGTGGCTGATTCGACAGGAGGATATTGTTAGTCGCATTTAACGCAGCATTGCGATCCTCTAGTCTTCCTTTTTGAAGCTGAAGATACTTGACATACTGATGTGAGATGCCATCAATGATTAGAAACAGAACAAGGAAGTAAATGACACTAGTACCTCCTGAAAATGCTCTAGAGTGGCCCCTTCACTTGGCGGAGCGACAGGTCGGATGCTATGATCTGAATCCTCTGAATCAGACGAGGAAGGGAACTCTGATTCGGACATCAACAGTGGGTGATATACAGCGATAAGAAGGACGTGCAAAGACAGGCGCGACTCGACGGACTCGAAGGACTGTTGAACTGTTGAACGGTGATTTAGACTCGACATCTTTTATACAATTGAGAAGACTTGCCTACACGCACCGCCAGCTGGTGGTCATTGACAGGCAATAAGCTGTGTGGGTAAGGCGGTGGTCAATACAGCGGATTGAACACGTACATTACAGCGCATTCAGCCATGAGTTTGGGCTATATGTGTTCTAGATCATAATAAGCGGTTGTTGGTGTTGCTGATGTGATGTAATACCATTCACCTTCAATTGAATAGTGAACCCAAGCGAAGTTCCAAACGTAACTTTAAAACTCGTGGTACTCGTAATAAGACATGATGGCGAGGAGGTAGTGATAAACGATCTTCAATTGGCTGACTATTACGCTATTACTGATTCAGATGTATTAACTATCAGCGTTTATAGGCCTGTCACGACGTCGACGGGCAAGATATATGGCATAGGCTGACGTCTGACCAATATCAATTTCTGTCTCGCCAACGCACGCAGATTTCTTTCCGGCAGAGATTGCATGTCTGATGAGGCCAGAAACTTTCAGTTCTTTGGTTGTCTAAATATATTGAAATCAAAAGGTCATGTAGAAGAGTATGCGAGATGACTTGCCTGACAAATTTGTACATTGAATGTCACGTTAAAACTGATTTGCAAGAAGTCCTGATCGTCCTTATTGAACATACACAGGAAGCTTTGCTTGAAGATCGATGTAGCAAACGAATCAGATAGGACAATGACACCATTTGTCGAGTTGGGCAATGATTTCATCTCTAGTAAGCCCACTTGATCCAAGCAACCAGTAAACAAATCGACAGCGTGGCCATTGTTGGATACCCTCTTCGCTAGACCTTCATAGAACTAAAACAAAGCAAACTATGATGCCATGGTACATTGTGTCACTGATCCAGGACAAACCTTTACTGCACGTTTGTAGTGCTTGACGCTGTCCCGTTCGATGTCGTGATGAGAGCGAATAGGCTCCTTCAGTTCATTGCTGACAACCATGCCTGGACCCTCCATTGCCGGTCCACCCGCGAAAACCATTATACGCGCGCTCGTATTAAGGAAAGTCATCTGAGTTATGTTGTCACCCATATGCTCTCCTCAACACAATTGATAAACTCACCTCCAAGAGTCCAACGGCTACACTGACGGTCACACCAGTGCAACGTAAAGCGTGCTTGTCATCGGCAACTGGCCAAGGATCACGAGCGAGTGCCTCCAGAATCCCAGTGAGTTGAAATTCGCATTGCTGGACAGGAAGCAAGAAATGCGCAGCTCCAAAAGCTTGTTGGGGCATGGGTTGGCTGGCACGGGGTGTGGCGCGAGTTGTCGTACTGAGTCCAAGCATGTCCTGAATCTGTTTCTGTGTGTACTCCTTGCCGCCATGGAAAATGTATGATTTGCTGCACTCTGCATAGCCCAACTCGTGAACTTGTGTCTAGTAGTTAAAGCAATGAGCTTGAATGATAAAAGAACAAATGCATGTACGTACCATTGTGCCGAACGTAATGAGACCAACTAATGCATATGGTGGGATCAAGCTGAGACTGACGACAAGAGCGTCATGGAGTGCTTTGAGGTCATCGGCATCTAGACAGGTAACGACAAACAGGAAGACAGGTGGAGCCTGAGCGGGACGAGATAGAGTGTACTCAATCGTCGTGTACTTGGGAAGTAGTTCAGCGGGTTGATTGGTGTTAGAGATATCTTTATAATGTGGCGGGAAAGGATTGCGGGTCAAGCAAAACGGACAAATCCACAGTTTGCCTCTAATATTGATTTGACTGTATGGTGCATCATTAGTAGAATTTCAGGAAGGAAGAGAAGAGACATACCAATATGGATTGAGAATAGCACGACAAGGCGGTTTACACGTCACGGTGTAGAGACTCGTGCCTCGCATTGTGTGATATGGCACTTTCCACTAGGGAGTACACAGCACGACTTGCAGCATCACTCTGTGTGCTATCCACAGCTATTCCCTTACGAGGCGCAGCTTTCCCACGCAATGCGCAGCATGCGCGCACGACTTCCCGCGCTTTACGATGTATACGCGCGCGCGCTTTCCCGCGCTTGAGCGCCCTATAGCGCCAGCCATCCAGAAGCATCCATCCACTGTCCACCAAGCTCTCTAGTGCGTATATTCCCATTTCTCTTATTTACATATCGTTCCACCTCTATTTTTACCATGGACCCTTACTTACATATATCTTTACATACCTACTCGGTAGCGCTTCGGCTCCGCATGACAGCGCTTAGGCGCCATATAAGCGCCAGCAGTACATATTATTAGACACTTTACTTTCCAACAAGAACTTTACCTCCCACTTACCACCCACATACTACCTAGGAGAACATAGTAGAAATCTATTCTTTGACACCTCGCGCTCGTATCTCTTGTCTAGTATCTAATCACCCCTTAAGCAAACTCACTCTTACTCTCTCTCATTACCGCTCACGCGCGCGCGCTTCCCGCGCCTCGCGCGTACCTTCGCTTTCCCGCGCCTTGTGCGCACCTGCGCACTTTCTCGCGCTTCGCATCAGCCGACCAGTAGCGCCTTCGGCGCGCACTACTAGATCCTTGCTGCACTCGCTTCCCCTTTAGGGTCGAACGCACTTGTCGTCTCAAGTATAGCAGACTAGGCAACGCGCGACCTCACAACATTTGCAGATACAGTCTGGAGCATCATTTGTTCCTCACAGTATTGTTGTTTCTACAACGGGTTCAAAGAAGGGGAGTATAAAACAAAACTGTCCAATTCAAACGTAGCATATGGCACGGGATAGGGTCGAATGACCTGAGAGTGAGAGTCATGAGCAATAGCATCTACTAATGTGTTTGCTCGTGCTGGCAAAGACGATGAGTCGGTGTGTGCTTTGACATGAATGAGAGCCGGAGGTTTGGGAGACGATGATATGATGGAGTGTAGCCATTGATACAACGACCGTGCAGGAAGGGTAGACCATGTGTGAGGTAGGAGCTGATCAGTCATTGGGACTGTCAGACTGGTAGAGCGTAGTGAACACACGCATAGTCATGCACGTCAAAGTGACATACCTCAGTCTATTGACGCTGGAAGTGTAAGCCAGAACTGACTTGAAGTGCCTTCATGCGGAGGAACATGTCTGTATCAATGGTATCCATGACGAAGTAATCATTGACTGCTTCAGGGTCACTGGCGAGTGCAACGCCACGAATGATGGACTCGACAAAGATGAATTCAGAAGATGACCGAGGTTTCGCTCGCACCCGCCAGAGCCCCAAATCTAAGTCTTGTCTGCGGCGAACACCAATACCAATGTCGTAAGGATGGATCAGGGCAAGAGAAAGTTCAGTCCCCCCAACTTTGCAGCGGAACATGTAGATAAGACGTGCGAAAAATGGCTGGTGTTCAGTCTTTATGATGATGCAGTCATATCTTGGTGACCCAAAGAATTTCGGGTTACATCGAAGGAGGTCTCGTTGCAGACGCCAGTCAACCATCGACTCATAATTCACCCGGAGGTATCGAAATTCCGTGATCTGGCAAACCATGTTATATCAGTATTTAAATTATGGGCGATAAAATGTGCTACATGTTAATGCATACCTGGTCACAAGCTTGAAATCTGCTGCATGTCTCGTTTGGCAAGGGAATTGCATCGTTCGGCAGCAAGTCGTTGAAAAATTTGTTCAACTTGATTCGAAAACCAAAAAATGCCCTGTCTGTGGCATGTGATTGCTCGATGTCTGAAAAGGAGAAATCGCCCTGCCTCGCACCCAACTGTACACGTGCTGCTGCATTTACAACATCTTCAGGATTCTTGGTTGCCTCAGGCTCTATAGCAGCTTTCAAGTTGTCAGTATACGCGTCTAGGTCATCGATCTCATCATGGATAGAAGTTGATGTAAGTTGCCAGTGGTCGTAGCGGAGGATCTAGTATGGATCGAAATCAGCGCATCCGACCATGAGACATAGGAGGCTCGTTGTTGTGCATACCTGGGGAGCGACATCTTTGAAATTTGTCCGCCGGAGGTAGATAGCTCTTAGTGGGCCATGCATTTTTTCATTCACCTTTGTGTTATAATTCCGTGTGACACCTTTCGCAAGGATATCGTCAAACAAATGCGTAAGCAAATGCTTCTTCGGAAAATTCCAACTCTTTCCGGTTTCAGGCTGTGATTTCTCGATATATAGCTAACAGTTTGTCAAAATCGTCAGTCAGAAGTGCTGCGTGTTGCATGACATTGAACCTACATCCATGAGCATTGAGAATCGAGACAAGGCATCTCTTCCAGCTGCAATGGTATCTTCGGTGTGAACCTGTAGTGCTGCATATATGTCGAGGTCGACATAGCAACGTATGCAGCGTAGAAGTAGATAACCGAGTTCACTATTAGTTCGGCTGAGGACATTCTGCACTGTAAAGATGATCATCTGGCAGAACAGCGTCAGTATCGTAAAACATGTTTCAAATTGAAAAACACCTTCGATATGTCTTTGTGAGCTGAGCCATCATTGAAATCAACCCCCACCACCTGCGAGAAGTGCCTGAGGTCGCGCCACCTTGGGAGAGCATCAAAACTAAGATGAAGTCAATGACACCTCTGAAACCATCTATGGTAGAAAGACGAACTTCGCATCAATCTTAACAACAGCTTCTCGTCCCAAATCTTTAAGCCAGAACTGGAGCTCCGACCACAGATGATCGCCCCACATCCCAGCATTATTGGAATGCAGGCGGTCAAATGAAAGTGCTCGGTGAACGTCGCAGTGAGAAACCTTCCAAAAACAATTCTGTGAAGCTAGAAGTAAATTTGTGCTAAGTCTCGACTGGTAAAGACACCATACCTCGACGTCACGCAGTGAGTACGCCTTGAGATGTTTCTCCTTTTCCTTTTCTGTCGATGTTGATCTTGCCGCATTGAGAATGTCGAGAGACTGAGTACTTGTGCGTAACGGATGTGTGTCCGACAATACCGATTGCTGTTCTTGAGGAACCAAGCAAACCGGACACGGAAATTTACCTTTAAGTCCCCGAATTAAGGACATAACACACCTGTTACATATCATTAGAGTCAAGAAACCACCTCGTAAGTCTAAGACTTACTGTTCCTCATAATCGGCGCTTAGAATCAGTATTAAAGGCCAAAGAAGGTGTTGTACGTGGTCCCAACATTCAAACCAATATCCACTCTTCGAGTGTACTATGACTGCCTCGAGTAGCTTGAGGAATGACTCGTGCCAGACTGCATTCTTGAAGTTCACAAAACTTTTCTTTTTGCTATGTTTTGGATCTTCTTTAACCTGTTCCGAAGATGTGATTGAATGATTACATTCATGTTGATTCAGTCTGACACTCACAATCGGCAACCAACCAACAACTCGTCCACCACCTACACCCGTACCATTGCGAATCTCAACAGGCAAATTTGCAATCCACACAACAATTGGGTAGCCCTTCTCGGTTCCGAAAGAAGATAGTTTGGCCTTGTCGGCATACAGGATGAACGCAAGCGGCTTAGCATCGGGTGGAAGGCGCGACTGTAACTGTATTTATATTGTACCATGGACAGATTAATCTTGTAAACATACTTGTGCATCCCAGAAAGCATTAGCAGTCCAGGGCTCGTCTATGAATCGCACAAAACGTGCTCCGTTAAATTTATAGAGGCGCTGAGCATCAAACACGAAATGCGGTGCGAACCGACTATCTCACATTAGGTCAAGTGCCCAGTTCCAAAGACAGCGGGAGTACATTGTGTATTCACGAGCCTCACCGTGATGCGGCACAGATATTGTACTGGTCTCAAACTACACTCGATGGCCTATTAACACCGTAATCTACATGCACTGACATGACTCACAGGTGTAAATCATGAGCTCAAAAAGCCTGTTGGTCTGGTCTTTCGTCATCGCTGCAGCAAGCGCAATCTCTGCGACCTCGAAGTCGAGCCATGTGCGGAATGGTTCCCACGGAGAGGCGTTACGAGGCATTGTATCCTCTGTAGGACGGCGGCGAGAAAAATCGGAAAACGGATGAACGGTTGAAGGTATCCTGCTATGTGGATGATATTCGATTTTGATATCGTCCAGCTGAGGCGCCAGGGGTGCATCATCATCGACACCATCATTGGCGTCGTCATGGTGTTGGTGGTCAAAGGACACTGGGACGAAATCTACGGATGATGGGTGGCTCCGAGGTGACGATCCGTGCATGTCAATGTCTCAAATATAGGAGGTTAGCTTCTTGCACAGATGGGCCATTTCGATTGAATGTTTGAAACAACTCACCATTGTCCTGGTTTTCCCGAATAGCGACTCCATCTTGCACTGCCCAGATTGCGATTGGGTTGACTAGCCGTTGGATTCAAAGTTAACAGAAAGATCAAGTGACAGAAGCAGCTGCGAGTTCACCTAAATTCTCCACAGCACGAGACGGTCCAGGTGCCTTTCCATCGTCGTGACTCTCGATCCGAAACTTCTGATGTCGACCTGGATATTGTTAAATCATTGGCAAACAACAGTCATTCGAGATGAATCTTATGTGCATGAATTTAGTATTGAATATTACTTACGCTTTTTCCGAGTCTCCCGAAGGGCCTCTGTGAGCTCTTCCTCTTCTTGCCTTTGCCTTTCCTTCTTTTCACACATCCTTGTATGGGACATTATCCCGCGTGCTGGCATTGTCGCACCACATATTTGGCACAAGACGTCTTCCGAAGCCCGGGGCATGAGAGAATATACCACAAATCTATGGTACAAACAGTAGTAGAACAGTTAGAAGTAGATTAATAGAGGCAGGATATGTGCAATGGTCGACCTGGTCAATCAGCGACAACGAAATGGATCGTAATCATATTAAAACTCAGCTTAGATATCTATAATCGGATTCTAATGCTGATTATGATAGCTATTACGATTTGATTTTAACGCCGTCTATGTTTCAATGCTCGTGAGGGACTCCAACCAAACAAGTCCAATATTTTATTCAACCGCGAGACAACAGTCAGGAAGGACTCAGAAACTAGATATGGTATCATTGAACTATCAATGTTTTGGGGAAAGGAACCTCTTTTAGGTTCGTTCGACAGAAGACTAACTCCAGGACCCTAATGAGAGGGAAAAGGGCAAGAATGAGCGATGTTTCCCCCAAATAAAGGGAGCAAAGGCTCACACAAGGGCCAAAGAATCAGACGTCCAGTCAAGGCAATCCAACCATAGAACCAAGTTCTAAGGGCAGACATAAGAAGTGTCAAAGCATACCTAAAAGGCAACACACCTGAGGCTACACCCAAATCTGTCCTCGAGTTAACCCTAGGTCCTCTACAGGTCATTTCAACCGCACGACAGTGTCGCATTCCATGACATCTCGGCCAAGGGAAAAGCCACCCCCAGAGACGTTCCAGGATGGACAAGCGACAGACTGAGAAAGGCAGCTGGATAGTGGTGGGAGGGGTGGGCCACACACTGTGAACTTCAACCCCAAACTCCACTGTGGAGGAGCCCCAGCCGACAATGTGGGAAAGATTCCCAACAAAGACAGGTTGATGAAGATGGGGTTCAATCCCCAAGGAGGCATCCCAAGCCTGACGATAAACAGCAATGGTATCACCAGCACCCAGAAAGGGGATGCCAGAGTTACCAGTGTCAAAAGGACAATCGAACATCCAGGAATCGTGTTCAGATAGGGGACAAGATCCATCAATAAATAAAGATGCAGCAACAGAAATGACAGATGAGGAGACTAGAGAGAGTGAGGGAGTGAAACCATGCTCAACAGAGAGGTCTGGTGTATTAGGACGGTCAACAGATAGAATATGCATGTGAAGGAGAGGAAAGGGAGACTGGAGCCATGCAAGACCCTGCAATGCCTGTTAAATACTCCAATGTCATCAACCGGGTCCCTAAATGAGGAGCCGAACAGGTGACAATTGCGCCCACAAATTTACGGGACAAAGGTCCATAAGGTCAAATTAAGGCTAATGGACCCGCCTAGCCCAAGCATGAGGCCAGGGAGAGAAAAGGGTCTGACAACCAATTGATGTCAAAGACAATGAAAATCATGTGTCCTAACTGACCCAATACCAAGAAGCATGAAATACTCCGGAGCAAGAAGCCTGCCCACTGGTATCCAAGAACATCTTGATGATAAACAAACACAGAGGGATGGGAGGGAGGGAATTTCAAAAGAGCAGATCGATGTTTGAAGGTAATGACTTTAGGAGATGATTGATGTGCTGATACACGCGCCAGGCTGTTGGTAGCGAGAAAGAGGAGAACAAAGCTGTCCTTACTCGGCTCATACATAGACTTTGTTCTATGCACGTGCTCGTTCCTCACTCTTACATAAAACCTGATCTATGTTTCAATGCTCGTGAGGGACTCCAACCAAACAAGTCCAATATTTTATTCAACCGCGAGACAACAGTCAGGAAGGACTCAGAAACTAGATATGGTATCATTGAACTATCAATGTTTTGGGGAAAGGAACCTCTTTTAGGTTCGTTCGACAGAAGACTAACTCCAGGACCCTAATGAGAGGGAAAAGGGCAAGAATGAGCGATGTTTCCCCAGAAAGGTAGGAGCTTGACGACGCAAATAGCGCAAGCTTGCCCCAAGTGATAGGAGGGAAGCGAAGACTTACAACAAATTTTTTAACGCACAGGAGGCAATGCATAACGTGTGAAAGGTTCAAGTATCGGCGTGTCTTGAAGGTATGGTGCCATGATGACAGCGTGTTGTCTTAAATACCTTAAGAAAGCATCACCACCCCATCTACCCATAGACTTCACCGTTTCGAAGGGAACTCCCCGCAACAAGTATTCCAGTGTACCTCCAATGCGGATACCATGGCCTTTCAAAGGCTCAATCTGAAGAGAGCGAGAGGCGCGGTCCAGACCATGCAGAAACTCAGAGCGAGTTAGTGGACGAAGACCAGTGCGATGCTTCCAGCTAAAAAGAGGAGCTGATGCGGGCGCGGAGTTTACCGCAAGATGATTCGACAATGCGTAAGCCGGGTCTACATCACCAGATTGCGGTGCGAAGTACAGGTCTTCCCCAGCTGGGGACATCTTGGTGCAAGGTAAGTGTAGGATGGTGACACGTAAACCGTGACGGTCCTCTCCATAAAGAATGTCTGAGCGTTTGACATGCAAGGAGGGATCAAAAGCAGACAAAGAGCGGAGAGTTACCTCTCCCACGCGTGCGAGAGAGAAAAAGGATACAGTGAGGCATCCAAAGATTGCGGCGTCGAGAGGAGCTGACAGATCTAGTACTGAGCGTATAACAAGCAAAGTACTGATGGTGAAGGGGTGACGTTTTACGCGTTTTGATGTAGCTGGTGCTAAACGCGCAGCACCTGCTAATGCCGAGGAGATTTGTGCTGAGTCTGGTAACCACTCGAGTCCATGTAACAGGTGCCAGGCTCGGACACCATAAAGGTAATTCTCTAGGGTTTTTCCGGAGTACAATCCAGCGCAGCTAGCAATGAAGCTCAGCAGTAAAATGGAGGAGGCAGGGCCACGTTGGTCTTCGGGGATGAGCCGGGCATCACAAAACACATGAAATACTAGTAATCCTGCACCGTAGGTCTCGCGAGTGCCGGAGGCAAGCGAGTGCCCAATAACTGTGAGGATGCGATTAAGATCAACGTCTGTCAAAGGAATATACGTCCCACTATGACCAAGAGGTTTACGGCGAGTTGAAGGCAGCCAGAGGCGAAGACAGTCTCGAGCTAAACAGTGAGGACGAAGGTTTGAAGGTAAAGGATTGAGTGAAACTGCGTAAGGTCTGGGACTGGCAGTGGGCAGTGACTCTGGCGCTAATGTGGCCATATTTACAAATCGTGACTCGCTAGTCACTCCAACTCTCTCAGAACCATAAGAGTTCCTCTCCATAATCCCAGCGCTCTGGCCTGTCATCCACTGAGAAAGTACTTGAGTGCCATTGAGGGTGGGAACAGGAGGAGGAAGACAGGGTGTCGAATTCATCGTGCACGAAGTCTTGAAGGGCGGAGGGGAGAATAATGGGGGGAAGAAGCATAGAGGTGGGAGGGAACCTTCCACGCGAGGGACCATCTGCTGGGTTGGACGCACTGGGGACATAAGAGAGGTGGAAGGAGGTGTGAGGACCAAGAGGTTCGAGCATAGAGAGAATGCGTCGAAAGACGCAGTTAGTTGCCCAGTTTCGACTCCTTCCATTCTTCCAGCCCTCAACGACTCCGAGGTTGTCGCAGTGTAAGCGGAAATGTCCACCCGCTGAGGGAATGCCGAGACGGACAATGCAGAGGATGAGTAGTTCGAAACCAACTGCTTCGGCCCAGCCAATGTCTTTGGCTCCGTTGAGAGATTGCCAATCTCAGTGCAAGCTCCAAGCGCGCCAAAACCCCTTGATAACAACTCCAATTCCGACACCGGAGCTTGCATCTGAGAATGCATGGATGTCGATGATTGAGAATGGCTGAGGGATGATCCGGTGGAGGGAAGGGCAGGACAATTGCTCTGTCCACCACGCAAGGTCCTCATTGAGATGCCGGACGGAGTGATATAGCATGAATGGACGTGAACTGGCAATGCTGAGCATGGATTCCAAGGACGTGAGATAGGCGCGGCCCCGGGGAAGAACGAGACAGGCATGTAACAGTTTTCCATAGAGCTGCTGCGTTTCGAGAAGGACATGAGTGGGACGTTCGAGCCACCGAGCGATGGCCACCAAGTACTTTTCTCGTTTGGCATCAGCCAATGCAATGATGAGACGTGTGAGGTTCCACAGAAGTCCAATGAATAAAACGGTATAAGCGAACTGAGTATCCTTCGTAATCTCCCAGGGAATGCCCAAATCCATTGAAGACTCGTCGATATCAGCAAACGAACTACTGAAAGGTTGATCTTCAGGAGTGCGATTAGAAACTGTGGAGAAGTCTCGTAGCGGGAAACGATGATCCTCACTGAATACTTCGCATGTTCCATCCTCAAGAGTATCACCCTCAAACCAAATTCGACCCCCAGTTTGACGCATTCCGCAAGTAAACAGGTGCTGGTGTACAGAATCACGATAGCTGTTGTAGGCACTAAGATGTTCACACCTAATCCGGAAGAATAAGTGGTCATCGACCCACTTGGTGAGAGGACCGAGTCCCAAAGCACGAAATAAGTCTGCACCAGCATCAGCAATGTAACCGTAGGCTCCTGCGGAGGGCCCCATACCAAACGAAGTACAGGTGTCCACATAAAACGAGTCAAGGTCGGACCGCACAACGGTAGCTGGCCATTGTGCAGGCAGAAGAGGGATAGTTCTGTAAGCTTCTGCAACATCTCTTGTCGCAGCCTGCGAACCAGGGGGAAGGTGACGTATAATGGAACAGACCATGTCAAAAGTGCCCCAGGTGCAAGGGAAGTTGTCGGATATAACCATGGAGTTGATTGAGGGCTGCGGAGCACGTGGAGAGGGAGAATGCGGAAAAGAGAAGTTTTGAATGACCCGAAATCTACCGGGTTTACCAGACTTAGGAATGATCGAGACTGGTGACGTTTGAAAGGGTCCCACCAGAGACTGTAAGTCAGAACGTGTGAACGGGCCGATGTACCGACCAGCAAGAAGTTCTCGATCGATGATATCATCAAGAGCCTTGCTATGTTCCGCGAGAGAGGGACTGTTGAGGGGAATTTGAGAAATGAGAATGTGAGGGAGATCCAGGTCAAAACCAAAGCGAAAGCCGTTTGTAATCTTGTGGTAACGCTCCCGAAGACCATGTTCCTCGAGCAAAGCCTCCCAAGCCAACACATTATAAGGACACACTGGATGAGAGCGTCTGTGCTCGAGGGCAGTTTTGAGCTCTGTGGGAGAGCGAGAGACATCCGGAGCATAGGTGTCGTTCGTCGTGCAAGCGAGATGGGCAACTTCGACCTCTTTGCCAATCGACACAAAGCGGCTTGTCGCTGCTTCAGACGAGCAGCTGACGAAGGACCCGTTTGCTGACGGTAGAATAGGAATTGTCCCACAGGCGGTCTGCGGGACATTCGGCGAAAGGATGAGTGTTGCGCCCGAGACAAACGGCACACACGGCGGGAGAGCGTTGGCCGTGTGCGCCGTTGGAAAAACCCGCAGATGAACGCGGTGTTTTGTCTTGCCTAGCGCTTTTGTTACGCGAGGAGGGGGAAGGAGAGCGCTCACGCTCAGCCGCTGATGAGCGGTGATCAACAGAAGGTATGGAAGCGCGGGGTCTCTTTTTGGAGGCGCGATAGTCCTCTCCCGATGACCTGGGGTTCAGACTGTGCAACCTCTAGAGATTGAACACAATCACAAACACAAAACGCAGATCGCATATCGCAAAACAAAAACGCAGCGCAACGCAGGTAACCAAATATAAGTCATAGATAGTATCATAACAACAAGAGCGGATAACAAGTGGAAACGAAGCAAACAACGTTAATATTGATTTGAAATTTTAAAATGAAGAAACGAACCTTGAACTCAAAGTCTAAGTCAGCACGCTCTCGTTCAGCGTGATAGAGACGATCAAAGGTCCGTGACAATTCAACTTCATCAATCAGAGCGATGTTCCATGCTCCAGCAGGCAATGGAATAGCTTGATGCCACGCCCGACGTTGTTCCTCCTGATAGGCAAGGAGAGCACGCCGCTCAATAGCATTGTCAGACGTCCAATAGTTGTGTGACATGAGTGCCCCGAAGAAGTTAGCCAACATAAGAACGCGCGAGCTGTCCCATCCGCGTTGTTGTAAAGAGGCAATGAAGCGAGGGATGGCATGGGAGAAGTCGAGCGGAGTGAGGAGATGATCAGCGATCACGCCAGAGGCAGGACGTGCAGCATTGGCAGCGATCCAGGTGGTGGAGCCATCTGCGGCAGTTGTCGGTACTAAACTATCGTCATCAGTAGTGTGGAAATTCAGCCGGGCATCTGCAAGCCCTTTGTTGGTCCAGTAGTAAAGCTCAATGAATTGTACTTTGTCCAATTTACGTAGAGCGAAGTCAGAGACAAGGATAGCTTCGGAAGCCCGTGTGGGACGAGGGCGGTCAGGGATGGGAATATGGTGTAGACGGTTTTTCTTCTTGTCCTCTTCAGCAAGCAGGTCGGCTTGAAGCTTTTCAGCAGCCGCACGCTGGGCGGATGCTTCGTCGATGATACATTGCTCCTCCGCGGCCGCTAGAGCATCAGCGTCAAGTTGCCCCTGCCAGCGGATCCTTAAGGTTGAATTAGTGGCGGTCCAGATGGTGGTCAAGATGGCCGCAGCTTGTTCGTCGGTGGTCGAAGGACCGAGCAAAGGCGCGCGACTGCTCTGAAGATCAGCGGAGGTGAAATCCGGACAATGTTCAAGGTGTGGATCAGCCGAAAGTCGAGTCATCGTAAGATGTAAGAGAAATTTCAAAAGAGCAGATCGATGTTTGAAGGTAATGACTTTAGGAGATGATTGATGTGCTGATACACGCGCCAGGCTGTTGGTAGCGAGAAAGAGGAGAACAAAGCTGTCCTTACTCGGCTCATACATAGACTTTGTTCTATGCACGTGCTCGTTCCTCACTCTTACATAAAACCTGACATCAGTAGATTAAAACACGTGAGCATTTTGATGCCGCCAGGAAATTTCCGACAGCAAACAGAACCCGGACTGGTCGTCGAGAACTGAATGAACTCTAATCCGATGCTGCTTATTCCTTGTGGTGGAACACAGCCCGTCTTATTTGATTGATGCCATCAGTGACATGTGTTATCACAGTGTATAGGATCAGAACGGCGGCCCGACACCCTTGAGTCCTCCATATGCCATGGCCATTGACCTCGTATTAATGCATGCGCTTGCAACTGACAGACATTTATTTCATTCTGGCCTGCTTTCTGTCCCTTCGCATATGGGGCACAGCGATGACATGTTCTGTTTCTGTGGGTAACTGCTCCACTAAGTACAAGCAGGCTGCTTCTCTCTCTCGTCACAGCAGCTATGTTTGCCAAGATGATCCGAGTGTAGCACGCCCAATTAGCAACGGAACGAACCTTACATATCCGTATTGTCACATTGCCGCAGGGACACTGGCCACTTCCAAGTACTATCCTTAAATCAGCTGGTGGGGCTATTGCCGCAAGATCACAAGAAAGTTGGCTGAGATCGAGATCCGGTCTTGGCATTGTTTGGAGGGCCTATCAGACGCCCCGGGCTCGCCTTAAGCTTGATCAGTCCCTGCCACATATTTCTAAATTTGAACACGACGTTTCTGGGATACTCTACGTTGTTTACAAGGGCTCGCTGACTCGGTACGATGACTAGCAGGTATGTGAACTAGTTCAGTCCACTAGCTTGCAATAGTCATGGATCTTACCTTTGACCTCGAACGAACGACTGGCACGAGATCCAAGAGGAGACAATGCCATTTGACCGGGCCCTTGTGGTTGATTCATCCACGAAAACGAGCTGATTGGACAATATTTTTGTCAACGGTGTTCCAATTGTCAGTGCAAATTGCCACTCTATTACGTAGTGAGGCACGAACGTAGGATTAGAGTATAGTCTTTGGGCGAGCGGATAACGCCGGTACCGTCTCTTGTTTCCGCTCTCCCATATTGCTCGTAAGACTTGAGTCTCACCGAGCTCTTTCTTTTCTTCTCTTATTTTTCGTACCTACCGCAATAATCTCTCGTTATAAGTTTCATCCCTCTGGTCACCCAACATCCACTATCATAAAAACACTTCTATTTCGAACCATGGCCCGCATCGCTTCGGACCCGGCATTCGACATTCAACCCGATTTTTCCTCACCCACCTTCGAAGGTCTCAGGGTTCGAATCATCGGAGGAACCCAGACAACCCACGAAGAAGTCGCTACTGAGTTAATCACTGCTTGGCAGTTAGACCGCGACCTCAGAGTAACAGCGTGGAAAAGGCAAGTAGACGAAGATGCAGAACTGGCAGCCGATGCAGCCAGAGTCGCACGAGAACAAGCAAACCAAGAACGTTTACGCCTAGAACACGAAGCAGAAATGGAGCTTCGCGAAGCTGAGAAAAAGAAGCCGAAAATCAACGACTTCCAGACAGGCACAGCTGTAGGTGACACACTCACCCCCCGCCCATCTCAGTACGCCATCCATAAGCTGAAATCGTTCGAATACGTCGAGCTATGGTACTTCAGCCCAGATGGGTGTAAGACAACTGCAGACGACGCCAAAACTAGCGCCGAAGATACATTCGGTCTAGCCAAGGTCGACGACTTCGTAGCGCTCAAGCCAGTCGCATCCTTCAAAGCATCCCGCAAAGCGGTGCAGGACCACAACCTCGAGTGGCGCCAGTTCGACCTTGCCAAGAACAGCTTTCTCTTACATATCAACAAGCTGAAATGGCCGGAGAAACATCAGCGAGCCCTAACCATGTTCTTCATGAACATCGTAGCCCACCCGTATCGTTCAGAACACTTTGGCGAGCAAGCGCTGTTGCTCTATGCGGCCCGCGTCCGTCGTGACTGGCACGACACCCTAGTCCTCAATAATGCGTTCGACATTAGCATCTTCAACCTCACCCTACTGAAGAACATGAGCGAAGAAGTTTGGAACAGAGCGCGGCACGAATCTCTCACAGAGGTCAGTTCATCTAAGATTGTCGCTCTCAGCAATTTAGCATCTGACTGTACTCCCCATCACACTTCCACCTGCTTCCAATGACCCCATAATGCTACCGCTACAAACGCTTCCACAAAAATTCGCTTCCACTACAATCGCTCCCACTCCCACTGCTTCCACCACTCCCGCTCCGCTTCCAAAATGCTCCCGCTCCCACTGTGAACTCCTCGATCCTTCGCGGGATTCCAACATGCCTCAGTTTCAGACGGCGCAACACCAGCGTGTCCCCAGCCGAGACAGTGCCCCCTCGCACCGCAACCAAACAAAAGAAGGGCATCGCAGGGCCAACTCCCGTTCACGCTCCCCACCTCGTAACCCAGCTCCTCGCCCTCCTCCCCGGGTCACATCTCCTAACCACCAGCGACCTCGCCAGGAGCGGAAGCGTCCTGCCCAAGAAAAGCAGTCTTTTCAGAGCAGCGCGGCACCAAACGGCCTATTTGCCTGCGCTCTATGCCTCGGCCGCTTCGCCCACAATGTGCACAAATGCAAGAGCGAGTTCCTCTGGGACGGCAAGACTCCCACCTCCTGCCGGCGAAATGCAGAAGGTCGCCTTGTCAATGCCCAAGGCCTGCAGCTTTGCTACGACTGGCAACGCCCAAATGGCTGTTCGAATACCAGCAAGGAACACATTCATCAATGTTCCGGATGTGGGAGTGCGGATCATGGGGCTCAGAGCTGTTCTCGAGGGCAGGAAGCTTAAGGCGCTTACCCCCTACAACCCCAATGCTTGGCTACTCGCTCTCACTAAATCGCGACTCATACTTAATTACGCACATATACCACATTCATTACAACACGGCTTCCTCGGTAGTATTCCCACAATCAAAACTACTTATACCCCCCCTAATAACCCCTCCATCGATGAGCATGCCGAGGCATTTGCTTCGATTCTCGCTCGCGAATACGAAACAGGCCGCTATCTCGGTCCGCTATCCGCCGCTGACGTGGAAACCCTCATCGGTCCCTTTCAGACAGCCCCCTTGTCGCTCATCCCAAAGCCCGGAAAGCCAGGAAAGTATCGCCTCATCCAGAACTTGTCACATAGATCGAACTCCCTCCCTCGCCCCATTGATTCTATCAATTCCGCTATCGACTCCAATCTCTACCCTTGTACTTATGGCACATTTGCCACCATTTGCACCTTGGTGTGGCGCCTCCCTCCTGGTTCAGAAGGAGCAACACGGGATGTCGCCGAAGCTTACAGGACCGTTCCGCTACACCCCTCCCAATACCCAGGTGTTGTCGTCCGTACAGGAGAAGATAAGTTTGCCATTGATACTAGTTTTTGTTTTGGCTGCTCGTCCGCAGCCGGCACTTATGGGGGACTCGCTGACGCTGGTGCAGACTTGCTACGGAGCGAAGGTGTCGGCCCACTCTCAAAGTGGGTTGACGATCACCTTTTCTTTCGCGTTCTCCTACAGTACCTTGCCGAATACAACGTGCAAAGGGCAATTTGGGCCAAGAATATCCAAGATAATGGCGGCCTTCGCATCAATGGAGGTAGAAAATGGTACCGAGGCGCTACCATGCTGGATGACACCTTTGAGGAATTCGATGAAGATTGTCGTTTCCCCATCCGTGACCTTTCCAAACGTTCCCCCCGTTCCAAACACGACGCATCCTTCTCGTACTGTATGGACGATATCAATTTCTTCTCCGCCGAAACAGGGACACCTTGGGAACTTTCAAAGGACACTCCCTTCTGCACTACTCCGCCGTTCACTGGCATCACCTGGGACCTTGGAGCTCGAACAGTGGAAATCCCGGCAGCCAAGAAACAGAAATACTTGGCGGCCATATCGACCTGGGAATCCCAACCGCGCCATACGCTCAGTGAGACCCAGAAACTCTTCGGCAAACTCCTGTATGCGTCGCTCATTGTTCCCGCTGGTCGAGCCTACCTCACAGAACTGGAGACCATGCTCTCTATCTTCGGTGACCGCCCTTACGTGCCACATACCCCTCCTCGAAACTGTGCTGCTGACCTCAGATGGTGGTCTGCAATCCTACAGCAACCGTCAGTCAGTAGGCTCATCCCAGGCCCTTGCGAAGTCTTCGACCCCAACGCCTTCTCAGATGCTAGCTCAGGCGTGGGTATCGCAATTTGGATCAATGGATGGTGGCGCGCATGGCGGCTCATTCCTGGCTGGAAAGCTGACGGACGCGACATTGGATGGGCGGAAGCCATCGGCTTCGAGTTCCTCGCCCTTACCATCACACAAACCTCCAGATCCAGCCCAGTACCTTGCATTAAGATTTTCGGAGACAACCGCGGAGTCGTTGAGGGTTGGTGGAAAGGTCGCAGCCGAAACCGCGCTACAAACGGAGTCTTCAAGCGGATACACAGCATCGCTGAAGCCATACCTTGTACCTTCCTCACTCGCTACATTCCCAGTGCGCTCAACCCAGCAGATGACCCCTCACGCGGAAAGTACCCTCCTCGCTCCCTACTTCTGCCCCCCATTCCTTTGCATTCCTCTCTCAGGAACTTCATCGTCGACTTCGACGCCCCTCTACTACCAAGCGAGACCCACCGTCACCTCAAGTGCATCCCGCTTCATGCTCCCACCAGAACCCATCAGCGGACAGATTATGCAGAACGAGCCCTTGCAAACCGGCAACTCGAGCAACAAGGAGAGGAACTCTACAAAGCGTCGCAAGCTTAGTAGGTCTCTTTCCTACTAAATACCCAGCTACCCTGCGCAACCACCATCTAACCTACCCCCCACCTAGCTTATAAAGTCGACTTGACCCCGGTTACCTCGGCCTTACGGCCCCACTGTGCGGCAAAAGATAGACTACGCTTGTGGATTCCGTTCGCCCCCAGACTCACTCCCAACACCCTTGGAGTGGGGGACATAGCCAGAATTCAAGACGTAATGCTACATGCATGGGCAGAGAGCACACGTGAATCATACGGCTCTGGACTGCTAGTATTTCACATTTTCTGCGACTCACGATCAATTCCTGAACGAGACCGCGCCCCAGCGGATTCTATCTTGATATCAACCTTCATAGCAGCAGCAGCAGGTTTATATTCCGGGAAAACAATAGCGAACTACGTCTTCGGAGTCCGCGCTTGGCACATCCTTCACGGCTTACGCTGGAGCCTCAACGACGAGGAAATCGACGCTCTCCTCAAAGCTTCCGAGAACTTAACACCCCCTTCCTCGAAACGTAAGAAGAGACGCCCTTATACGATCGAATTCATTTGCACACTCCAGAGTCATCTCAATCCTGAGTGCCCGTTAGACGTGGCCGTTTTCAGTTGCCTAACGTCCACATTTTATTGTACAGCAAGAGTCGGAGAATTTACCATCCCCACCCTCACATCCTTTAACCCAAATCGTCACGTCAAACCTTCAGACGTACGCATGGAGCAGGACCGAAACAACTTCTCAATGAGGGTCTTTCACTTACCTCAGACCAAGACCTCATTAGCAGACGGAGAAGATGTATCGTTCGCAAGGCAAAACGGCCCATCAGACCCAGAGAGAGCCTTTCTGCAGCATATAGCCATCAATAACCCTCCACCTGGAGCCGCGCTCTTTGCATACCGCTACAAGAATGGTCATCGCCCTTTGACGAAACAAAAATTCATCACACGTCTAGCCAAAGCGGCCAGGGCTGCAGGTATGGACCCTCTGCAAGGCCATGGCATCCGCATAGGATCTACCCTCGAGTATTTACTCCGAAACGTTCCTTTCGAAGTCGTCAAAACAAAGGGTAGATGGGCTAGCGACGCATTCCAAACTTACCTTCGGAAACACGCCCAGATCCTAGCACCCTTCATGCAAGCCACGCCGGCTCTCCACGACGAATTCGTTCGTTTCTCAATGCCGAGAAACCGCTAAAAAAAAAAGATGAAAACCACATAGACGTGAGTAGTCTTTAACTCCTACCTCGTTGGGATATCTGCGGCCACGCTGCGACGCGTCGTTTCAGACTCCTAACACCATGGGGATTCGCAGCTCACCTTCTTTCTCTTCAGACAGATCCCCGATCGGGGCCGGAAGCGCTTCGCGCCTTCGCCCACACACTTAGTAGCAGTTAGCCTTCACTCCCCACTCCTTCATAGCTCTCTCTTGAATAACATTGACCTTTGGACAATTCTCTCTATCTACGAGCGTCTTGAGTGACACCCCAAGATTGCCACTCTATTACGTAGTGAGGCACGAACGTAGGATTAGAGTATAGTCTTTGGGCGAGCGGATAACGCCGGTACCGTCTCTTGTTTCCGCTCTCCCATATTGCTCGTAAGACTTGAGTCTCACCGAGCTCTTTCTTTTCCCCGCCCTCCACTCCCTGATCATCATAGCTCGTGCCACCAGCCCTCGATGATGAGCCTCGCATCGTACCAACAATTGCTCTTGTGGTCCTGATCAACGTAATGTCATTCTGAGAATCTTCATGCGAGGCTAGCCACCCACCCTCGCAGCTCACCTTCTTTCTCTTCAGACAGATCCCCGATCGGGGCCGGAAGCGCTTCGCGCCTTCGCCCACACACTTAGTAGCAGTTAGCCTTCACTCCCCACTCCTTCATAGCTCTCTCTTGAATAACATTGACCTTTGGACAATTCTCTCTATCTACGAGCGTCTTGAGTGACACCCCAAGACTGCAGGCAGACCCCCAGTCGGATTCACAATTGGCGCCAGCGGAGACTCCGATCGATCGGGCATAAACATCTTCACCCACTCAGTGCCGGTGAGAACTGGTTGTTTTTGGACAGGCCCGGGAAATGCCAGAGTTCCAATTGTCAGTGCAAGCTGCAGGCACACCCCCGGTCGGATTCATGGCAATCGGCGCTAGCAGAGACTCCGATTGATCGGACATAAACGTCAACGTTTCAACATTTGTCCCGCTCAGTACTCATTGGGCATAAATGGACTCATCAGAAGGATTTCTCGCGATGCATGACACTGCTGCATTGAACCCATTGCTGTGTTTCCGGTGTCAGTGCCATGGATTATTGCAGTAGCTTCTCCCAGTATGATTAATATGGGACGAATGGCGGTAGCCATCGATATCCTCCATCGACTGTGCAACATATGCGCTTGCAACTGACAGAAGTTTGTCCCATTCTGGCGTGCCTTCCGTCTGTCCCTCCGAAGCATGTGGAGCATAGCAATGATATCTTCCGTGGGTAAATGCTTCACTAAGTACAGCAGGCAGCTTCTCACTTTCGTCACAGCAGCTCTCTTGAGTACTTGACGGTGACTGTAATATAATAGGCACGCAAGACAAT